GTACTGGATGACTTGGCAGCACTCCAGAAGCGGTACAGTGGGATATTTCCGGATGACCTGCCGACGGGACTGCCACCTCAGCGACCGCACGACCACAGGATAGAATTAGAACTGGGGGCACAGCCGACAATACAGCGACAGTTCCGACCGACCCAACCCGAACTGGACGAACTACGGAAGCAGCTGGATTACCTGCTCGAGAATGAGTTTTTTCGCCCGAGTTCGTCTCCCTTCGCGGCACCAATACTGTTTACGCCGAAGAAAGACGGGGGTTTTCGCATGTGCATAGGTTACAGAGCACTGAACAAGGTTACCATCAAGTCCCGTTACCCCATCCCGCGAGCCGACGAACTGATCGACCAAATGCGCACAGCCCAGGTTTTCTCGAAAATCGACCTTATAGGGGGTTACCACCAGATTCGCGTCAACCCACCCGACTGCCCAAAGATAGCGTTTCGAACACGCTACGGATCCTATGAAGACACTGTCATGCCCTTCGGACTAACCAACGCCCCCGCCACTTATCAAATGACGATGAACGAAGCCTTCCGCCCGCTTTTAGATAAGTGCGTCATCGTCTACTTAGATGACATACTCATTTACAGCCCCGACAGAGCACAGCACCTACAGGACATCGAAGCAGTTTTTAAAATACTGAGTGAGAACCGCCTACTGACCAAAGCCTCTAACTATGAGTTTTTACAGGACAGACTAGAGTTTTGGGGGCACATTATTTCAGCTGACGAAGTGGAAATATACCCGAAGAAGATCGCGTCGATTCAAGCTTGGCACGAGCCAACAAATCTGACTGAGCTGCAGAGTTTTTTGCGATTCATCAACTACGTGCGCCGGTTCGTCCCCGACATGGCAAAGTTGACTGCTCTGTTGACCGACCTGCTGAGGAAGGGGGTTGAGTATACGTGGGGGGAGAAAGAGCAGGCTGCCTTCTCGGCCCTCAAGAAAATTTTGTGCTCGCCGCCCGTACTTCACATCGCTGATCCGCACCGTCCGTTCGAGCTCGTCAGTGACGCTAGCGACATTGCCGTGGGAGAAGTACTGTTGCAGGATTTCGGGAACGGCCTCCAGCCAATCGCGTATGAGTCCCGCAAGCTTCACCCGCCCGAACGCAACTATTCAATACACGACCGCAAGATGCTGGCGATCGTGCACGCGTTCAAGGTGTGGCGATGTTACCTCACGGGAGCATACGTGATAGTATGGACAGACCTCCGATCACTACAGTACCTTCGAGCCCAACCGAGTCTCAATCCGCGACGGATCCGCTGGTTGGACTATCTGGAGTCCAACTTCCACTACACCGTCACATACAAGAAAGGTGCATCGAACATCGCTGACACACTCACCCGCCTTACCGCCCAACTTCACGCCATCCTTCTCGCCCAAACCAAACCACTACTAACAAACCTATTCACCCACGGATACCGCACCGACCCATTTTTCACGACCGGAAATTTACAGCAACTGGCAGAAGCAAAGGGAGTCTATTACATAAAAACAGGCACCAACCGCATTTGGGTACCCGCGTACTCACTGCTGAGGGAGCGATTACTACAGGAGGCACACGACGGAATTACCTCGGGACATTTTGGGGTAGAAAAAACGCGACAGCAACTGCAGCGGTACTACTACTGGCCGGAGCTGTTGACCGACGTACAGCAGCACGTGGCTCGTGCCCCACGTGTCAGGTGATGAAGAGCTCGCGAAAAAAAAAAAAAAAAAAAAAATGGCGGGTCAATTGCAGCCGATTTCGTCGCCCGAGCGCGCCTGGCAGCAGGTTACCATGAATTTCGTCACGGGGTTACCTTCGAACCCTGGGGGTAACGACGCGGTAATGGTCGTTGTTAAGAGATTGACGAAGATGGCTCACTTCGCTGCATGCAAGAAATCGATCTATGCCGAATAAACCACTCGCCTGTTCATTGCAACCGTCGTTAGACTTCACGAGATACCAGCTGCGATAATTAGCGACCGCTTCACGAAGTTCACCGGCAACTTCTAGAGGAACCTTTGGGAGCAGCTGCCGCTGATCGAGTTCGCGTACAACAACGCCACGTCAGCGACGACACAGCAGTCTCCGTTCTACCTGAACTACGGGCAAAACCCAACAGTGCCGATGACGCCGATTCTAGACAATCCCACGCCACGCGCACAACAATTCGCCGAGATTCTGCAAGCTGCCCGCAGTAGAGCCGCACAAGCAATTTAAAAGGCCAATGTCATCGCTAAGCGCAACGCTGACCGCCACCGCCGCCCAGTCACGTACAAGTCAGGAGATTACGTACTGCTCAACACACAGAACTTACGACTGCGTACCAAAACTCCGACCCCGCTACTGTGGGCCGTTCTAAATCAGCCATATGATAACACCAGTTACCGCCCATGTACCATTGCCGACCGACTGGTAAATCAGCCTATCATTCCACGTCAGCCTGCTTTGCCCTTACGTCCCAACCACGAGCCAACTGCCTCGTCATCGCCCGCCATCCATGACTCGCCCTGCATCGGAGCCGATCATCGAGCCCGAGAAGATTCTGAGCCATCGGATTCGGCACCCAACGGGAATTAGGAGGATTCGTTTGCTGGAAGGACCGCACGCCAACTGAGGATAGCTGGGTGCCTCTGGCCAACATTGAAAACCACCCTGCCCTGCAAGTGTACATGAGGAGCTGGGGTTTCCGCGATATATACGCACTCGCGTAGCGGAGGGGGCTTATTGAGGGAGGGGGGGGGGGGGGGGGGGGGGGGGGGTAGTGTAAGGATTTTTTTCGACATTCCTTACCTGCAACATCGCGTACAGTAGCAGCCGTTGTTCGCCGACTTCGCGCGCATTGTTTCACCAAACCATGTACCGCGGGCTCGGCCGTGTTGGCCTACACGTCGGGACTAGCCCGAGCCTCGATGCCAGCCTAGCACTAGCTAGGTCGCACGCACCGCGTTATTGTTTGCATGTTTCGCGTATAAATGTTAGCTTATGCCTTCGCTCACATTTTGTACTCATTTGACACCTTAGTGCAATCCTCGCTACATCACTCCATTGCACTCGTAACAATTATGTAGTAAAGACGACGACCTTATTGTGGCTGTGTCATGCATTTGTTTTTGCTGAAAATAATCCAAAACTAATTTAACATTTTATAAAAAGAGGAATATTGTGGCTATGGCGCAACTATAATGTTTTCTTTTGAGCTTGATCAAAAAGTTGTTATCGATGTTCTGTTCGTTTCAAAAGAAAAAAACAGATGTATAGTATTCAAATACACGTATAATTGTTTTTTTTCACTCTACAAATTGATTCATACAAGGTATGCCTCACAGCTTTGAATCACAAATTAAACCATGAAAGATTGCTGTTTTGTTTGATCTGATGTAATATTTAATGTTTGGCGAAGACGTTTCAAGTGAATACGAACTTTGCTTCGACTCTCTGCAGTGGTGAGATGTCAGGTGTTTCCGACAGCGCCAGCTCACCAACGTTCTCCGCCAAACAATTCCACCGTGACTGTTCCTATGGTGAGTGAGTGGAATGGAGACCCTGGGCAGCTGCGGAAACCAGCCGACCACGCATCCAGCCATTTTTTTTTCTGTTTGGGGATTTATTGTGCTTGGTCTTGATTAGATGCGTGTTTCGCCGCCAGATCAAGAGGAGAGTCAGCAAGAATGCGGGTTTACTTTACTGACAGGAATACTTTTGAATCCATAAAATTTCCCTCCCCACCAGTGTAGGGAGTATCAGTGCACTGTACAGTCCAGGGAGGCAGAATCGAGGCTGAAATGAATTGCCGGAAGTAGAAAGCCTCCCCCCCAAGTGCCCCTCCTCTTCCCTCCCGTAGAATTGTCGGCCTCAACGATGAAGTGCAGCCGATACCCGTGCTTCTGGCTCCCCGAGTCCCCCATCGCATTTCCTTCCCCCACCCCCCCCTTCCCCTAGTGAGACTGTCCTGTCCTGGATCTTTAGCATTGCGCAATTCTGTACCCTCCTGCCCTTGCCCCTCCCAAGTCCTTCCCCCAGCTCCTCCCCGCATTCCCGCATTCTGGGCTCCCGCCCGACCTTCCGAAGCGGCGAGGCACTGTTGAGTTTGGTGAAAATGGAAACCCTAGGGTCCGCAGATTCTCCGCGTGGACTCCTCCCCATCCACAGCCACTCACTTTCTCACGCCGCGTCACAAAAGTTTTGATTGCAGCTAATGGTTCGTTATCCACGAAGGTGAGAAGCGGTTTAAAGCGGCGGTTTGAATTACCGCTCTTAACCAAGCATGATATGTTTTGTGCAGACCCTCAAATCACCCTGAGCAGTGCCCTTGTCGCACTGTGCTGACCTGACCACAACAGACAGACGCACACACCATCCATCCGCCATGGCTGCTGGCGCGAGGCGAGGCGACACCTTGTCATTCATGGTGCAGGGAGGGAGTGATGAGCAACAACCCTAGCAAAGTTGTGGAGGAGGTTGTTGGTGTGCGTCCACAAAAGAACAAGAGTGAATTCAAGCCTTCGGGTTAGGAGAGTCTAGACGTGATTCTTCTCACCATCACTATTCTTGGTTCTCCCCACCTCCTAAATCTACGTTATTAGCTAATCACAGCAACGTCCGCCTATAGGACAGTTCCGTCTGGCCCGTACTAGACATAGATTTCACCACTGTATAGCTACTTAATTTATCATCCTCGCACTCGGTCCTAAGTGATTCGCGGCGTGATATGTAAACGGTCATCGACTTCAGTCCCTACCCTCCAGCGTTCTGTAGTTACTAAGTCGCATCGGCATCTACTTACCGTCTTCTATTACACTCTGCCGTCAAGTTCCTACCGTCTAGCGTTAGTCCATCCGTCTGGGCCGAGTTTTCTCGGTCTGCTGAAGTTAGTAGTTCCCGGGCTAGTTCTCATTCGGCGAACGAAGCGACAACCTTGATAATAGACATGGCCAGAAATAGCTGGCCTTCGAGGCTGCAGTACAGAGTGCTGTTCTCGTTCTGCGTCGCCATGGCTCTCGTCTCGTCAGTCTATTCAGCTGACCCCGTGACTTTAAATGCCGAAATATGTACGTCCTTTTTTTAAAGCCCACCATCTCTTACCCCGGAAGCTCTTGATTCGACTAAAAAAATCCCTCAGCCTACCCCATGACCGTGAATGTCGAAATATGTACGTCCTTTCAGAAACTCACCAGCTGTCGGTGAAGAAGCTTTCGTCCGACAAGGCGCACATGCTAGACTTCTCTCCTCGCGTTCGCACCCAGTCCCCTTCCCTTTTCTCCCCCCTGCACCTCCATCCGCGCAGCACAAGCAATGGCGAGTTAATAGACGAGTGTCAAAGTGCTGGCTTTGTCCCGCATCCACACGCAGACTTTCTCCCATAGCGCTCTTCTCTCACCCACTCCCTTTCCCTTCTTCCCCTCAACCATTCCCCTCCCCTTCCCTCCCATGTGTCCGTGCAGCGCAAGCAATGGTTAGTATAGCGACGAGACTCAAAGAGCCTGCTTTGTTCCGCAACCACACGCTAATCTTCTTCCCCCGTGTTCCCATCTTCCCCCTGGTCCCTCTCATCTCTCCGTGCAGCGCAAGCGATGGTTAGTATAGCTACGAGCCTCAAAGTGCCGTCGACGTTCGGCTGGTTGGCGGCGCGGCAATGCAACTCCGCGACTGGATGGCTCGGAGTCACGTGCGACACCGACGGTCACCCCGTTTCCATGTACGACCGTTTGTCACCAGTCGCCTGCGACACTGGCCGACACCCTGTTCGTTATGATGTCGCGGTAATACGTAGCGTAGCGCGCGTTACGCTGTTTCCTGGTCTCGACGGTCCTCTAGGCTCGTCGGCGCCGCGGCAATACGGCTCCGCGACAAATGGCTCGGAGTCGCGTGCGACGCGGTCGATCTTCCTATTTCCATGTAGAACCATGGTCACGTAGGATTGTTACCGTGTTACCCCATTAGCAGCCTCTCTTCGTGAAAGAAGTTATCGTATTCTCACGGCTCCACCCCCCTTCGATGTCCCGCGTCACTCACCTTTCCATCATATCTCTCGGGTACGAATCGACTATCACTACGAGATCCGCCCGACCTTGGGCCCGTTCTCTGTGAACCTCCTCGCCGTCGACATTCTAGGGTCGGGTGGAACGACATCCTTTCCCGTTTTGGATTTGACATTCACAACGAGTTCCATGGCGTGGACATGCCTCGGAGTCTAGAATCCGCGCGCCTCTCTGTTTGCTCACCTTCCTCACCATGTCCTCCTCGTCTCATCTGCCATTGTTCTCCCCCCATTGTGACATTGTGCGTGATATATATATGGTTGAAACGATTGTGAAATGATTGGATATGATTGGGATTTGATGCCAACAGATCGTTCAACAAGCCCACGTGGACCGGCGGGTCTTTGCACACGTCTGTCGGCACTCTCAGCCGCCTGCAAGCCCTGTAAGTCCCGCCTTGCCTGCCTGCGAGCCTTGGGAATGCCTCGAGCCCACGTGGGCTGGCGGTTCGCTGCGCACGTCTGTCGGCACCCTGAGCCACCTGCAGGCCTTGTAAGTCCCGCGAGCCTTGGGATTGCCGCGAGCCTCGGTAGTGCGCCGAAACCTAGGGGTGGTGCTTTCAGCTCTTAGTGCTTGCGCTTTAAGAGAACCCTGGGAAGCCTGTCTCGCCGCGTCTACTTTTCCGTGACTCCGACGGCGCGCTTTGTAACTGCTTCGTTCACGTGCTTGTACTGGGTGTGCTTGTAACAGGTTGCTCAACAATCTGGACATGACTGGCAGCATTCCCACAGAAATCGGCCGCCTGGCGAGCCTGTCCTCGATGTAAGCACCCTCTCTTACAGTCACGCCCTAGTCGCCTCTCTCCCGTCCTGCCATGCTGCAGCTGTTCCGTCTCCTTTATTGATGCATTCGTTATCGTAACGCAAGCATTGTTCGCCCTCCTTCGCCTCCTCTCCCTCCACCCACCCTCTCTCTCTCCGTCGCCCTCACCTCTCCCTTCTCAAATGCGTCCGCTCCGCACACGTCTTTCCCCCCTCCAACCCCCCCATCCTCGTTCCCCCCTTTCACAGCGCACTCAACGGACTCGCGCTTTCGGGACCCATCCCCGCTAATCTCGGCGGCTTATGAGGCGCCCCAACAACTTTTCCTCCCTCTCTCTCTCTCTCTCTCCCTCCCCCACCCCTCCCCTCCCTCCCTTTCTCAGCGCACTCAACGGACTCGCGCTTTCGGGCCCTATCCCTGCTAGTCTCGGCGGCCTCACCAATCTCGCGAACCTGTAAGCCCCTTATCTCTCGAGTCTCGGCTTTTGCGTTAGCCTCTTGAGCCTTTTGCGTCAACTAGAAAAGCTCCCTGCTAGTCTCGGCGGCCTCGCCAATCTCGCGAACCTGTAAGCCCCTTATCTCTTCTCCTCGTCACCTCCCCTCCTCATCTTCCTTCGTCACCTCCCCATTTCTCTCCCTCCCCCTTGCCTCGCTTTTCCCTCCGCTCTGGCTCCCTCTCTCCCTCTCCGCCTGCCCGCCCCCGCTCCATTCTTCGCCCCTCCCCTCTCCCCCACCCTTCTTCCACACCGTTAGTCCGCCATCCGCGGGAGCGTCTGTTTTCCGCCGCCGCCCTGTGCTCTCTCCGCCGTCTTCCGCCCGCAGCCGCTCAGCCGTCTCCCCCGTTCCCCCCCGGTTCCCCGCGTTCCCCCCCCCCCAGGAACATCACGGGCGGATCGTTGTCCGGTCAGATCCCCGCGGAGCCCGGCCAGCTCTCGCGCCTGCAGCCGATGAGCGTCTGTTTCCTCTCTCCCCTTTTCCCTCCCCTCCCCCCTCCCCTCCCCCTGGCTCCCCCTCTCTTCCCCTGGTCCGCGCAGCAACATCACGGGCGGGTCCCTGTCCGGGCAGATCCCCGCGGAGCTCGGGCAGCTCTCGCGCCTGCAGCTGCTCAGCGTGGGCTCCGCCGCGCCCTTCAACCGCCTCTCCGCCATCAACGGCGGCATTCCCGAGGCGCTCTGCGACATCGCGCCGCTGCAGTACCTGTAAGCGCGCGGGGGAAAGGTTAGGCGGCCGGGGGGTGGGGGGGGTTGGCTTAGGGGGGAGGGGAAGGGGCAGAGGGGAGGGGAAGAGGCAGGGGGGAGGGGGGAGCGAGCTAAGGTGCAGGGGGGAGAGGCGGGAGGGTGAGGCCTAGAGGGTGGAGGGATGGGGGGCGCACTGGTTGAGGTCCGGGGAAAGAGGGGGAGGGAAAAGGAGGGAGCGAAGATTCAGTGAAAAGCTGTCTGTCGTCCACCGCCCGCCGCCCTCCGTCTGCCATCTGCTCTCCTCCGCTTCCTTTTCCCGCCGCATCCTGTGCTCTCCTCAGGTCGTCGTTGCTGCCTTTGCACTCCTCCCGCTCTATCCGCTCGCCTATTCGCCCGCCATTGTTTCTCTTTCCCGTCTACCACCTCGTCCCCGCTTGGGCGCTTCCCCTTTCTGCTTCCCCACCCACCTCCCCCCCACCTTCCCCCCACCTCCCCCCCGCCTCCCCCCCGCCTCGACCCGGCGTCGTCCTCATCTCGTCCCCCCCCTCGTCCTCACCTACCCGCCCACCTCGTCCCCGCATGTTCCCCTGCAGGAACCTGGGCTTTAACCGCCTGCAGGGCTCTCTTCCGCTCTGCCTCAGCCAGCTCACCAACCTCTTCTATTTGTAAGCATGCTCGTTACAAGCATACTCGTTTAATAACCCTCTTCAAGCACATTGGTTCCGAGCACGTGTTTCATTCCTCCTCCCTCTCTTCCCGCCCCCCACCCTCTTTTCCCCTTCCCGCCTCCCCCCTTCCCTTCCCCTCCCTCACTACCCCTCCCTCCCGCCTCCCTTCTGCTATCTGTTTCAAGCACGTGTCTCCTAACTCTTAGTCTGCTAACCTCCCATTCCCTCCTCGGATATTCCCTCGCCCTCTCCACCCCTCTCCACCCCTCTCCACCCCTCTCCACCCCTCTCCACCCCGCCCCGCCGCTCCCCGCCCTTCCCCACCCCTCCCCACCCCTCTCCGCCCCTCTCTGTCCGTCCCCGCTCCTCGTCTCGTCCTCACCAGGTCCGCGCCAAGCAACACAGTCTCTGACGACATCCCACCTGAAATCGCCGCCCTGCCGCACCTCCTCTTATAATGCTAACCTCCTTCCTCCCCAACCCTCTCCACCCCTCCCCTTTCCGCCCCTCGTCTCGCCCCCACCAGGGCCGCACCAAGCAACACACTCTCTGACGACATCCCACCTGAAATCGCCGCCCTGCCGCACCTCTACGAAGTGTAAGCGCTGCATTCCCCCCACCCCCCCTCGCTCCCCACTCCCTGTTGTGTATGCTACCTACATGGGGGAAGCCTTCACCCTGCTTTGTGCGCTACATGCCCTCTCCCGCATTTTCTTCAGAGCTCGATTTACTACTCATTCACTCACTCATCCATTCCTCCCTCCTCTCCCCCTCGGCCGCCTCTCTCTCCCCCACCCCCCTTTCCCATCCCACCCCTGCACCGAGCTCCACTCCTTTCTTCACACTCATTTATCCTTCACTATCTCTCCCTTTTTCCCCACCTCCCGCCCCCCCCGTCCCGCCCCCCCTCCTTCACGGCCCACCCTCTTCCTCCCCCCTCTCCCCCCACTTCTGCAGTGATCTTTCCAGCAACCTCTTCACGGGCCCATTCCCAGCCCTTTCAACCGAGCTGGACTCCCTCACACTCTCCAAAAACCTTCTCTCTGGCCCGCTCCCCCCCGTGCTCCCTCCTCTCCTCACCTCCCTCGCGATCAACACCAATTACTTCACCGGCAACCTCCCGCTCTTCTTCCCACTCAACCTCACCTACATTGACCTATCCGAGAACTATTTCACCGGAATCGCCAACGTGTTTGTCGGGACCAGTCTCTTTTACGCCTTTCCTGTGAGATGCGCCGCGCTCGGCGCCGCTCTCTCCAAAAACTGCTTCTCCGAGTCGTCTAAATGCACGGCATCGGAAGCCCAGCGCAACAGAACCATGTGCAGAGCAGCTTGCGGTACAGGTGTGTGGGAGCCGCTCGTCAAGGGGAAGAGTCAGTGCCAGGGGTATGGAACATGCTACCCTGATATCCCCACCACCACCACCACTGTCGCCACCTCCCAGGCCCTATCCCCCCCCACAACCTCGACTATCCAGCGCCCCAGACTCGCCCCTGGGGCTCTCCCCCCTTCCTGGACTTGCGCATGCGATGCTAATGCTGTGAATGTGCCGAATAGAGATGATGCGTGCACGTGCAAGCAGAAGCGATCGTGGCCGTGCGTTGCCCCCGGGCGGGTCAACGGCGGCTGCCCGAAATTCGCCCGCTGCTACCCGTACTACTTTTCGTGCCGCGGCGTGGGTTGTTTCTGTCTCAGCGGGTACACACCCACATATAATACTCGGAAGGAGGTAGTGTTGTGTACACCCAAGGCGGCTGCTACCACCCGAACCGGCACCAGGAGCACCTCTCTGAGCGCACACGCAGCCTCGGTGGCCGAGCGTCTAGGCTCGGTGAGAGGCTCGGGGATGCTAGGGTTGGTGTCAGGTCCGGCGCGAATGGGAATGGAAATTGCAGGAGCGGTGAGTGAGGGGGTGAAGGCTGTTCAGGAGGAGGTTGAGGAGGCTGGGGCGAGAACGGTGAGGGGACCGGCTCGGATTGACCTGGAAGTGGATTATGAGAGGGCGGAGCAGGCAGAGCTGATTGTTGATGAGGAGGAGAGGAGGGGGCAAGAGCAGCAGAAGGAGAAGGCACAGAGAAGAGGCGGCAGCAGCCGCAGCAGCAGCACTGAGCTGCTTCACTCACTTGCGTCGTTCATTGGCTCCTAGTGTGTTCTGTTCTCGTGGCTCCTCTCTGATGTGAAACCTGATTTGCTTTCGTTCGGGGGTCTTCATAAACTGCTTGCTTGCTTTGCTGCTCCAAACGCCTGTCTCTGGCGTTCCGCTGTTGACTTGTCAATGTGGGTGGGTTTGCAGGTTTGTCAGACATTGGCTGGCTCTAGAATGAGAGCCACTTAGAAGTACCATAGTTGTAGGGGGCATTCCATTCCATGTACTAAAGTTGTTTCAGGCACCTGCCTTGCTGATTTAATTTTATTCTTTCGCTGCCATGTTTCATCGTTTTATTTAGTTCCAGCAGCTATACCGCACTTGCATCTAGCAGTAGCAATGGAGGTAAACTGTTCACCATTTTCGTGATCACCAATTCATTTCACACCCTTCAGAAACACTTGTACCTTGTTGAAGTCTTATCATGCCTCCATACGTCAGTAAGCATGCATGCATACACATTAGCAGCATGTCAGGCTGCTTCCTCCTCCCATGCATCATCCACATCAGCACTGAGATGAGACAAACCAATCTTGGGTTTTTTAGCTGCCCGAGGCTCTGCCTCTTGCCTCGCCCCTTCCTCCTTCCCTTCTCCTCCCTTGTCAGCCCCTCTGTCCTCCTTCTCCCCATCCTCCTGTCTCCTACGAACCCTCTCCTTCCCTTCCACCTCCCCTTCTCCCCTCTCCTCTCCCGTGTCTTCTGCCTTCCCTTCTCTCTTCCCTTCTCTCTTCCCTTCTCCCTTCCCCCCATCCCCCGCCATCTCACCAACTCCAAAAGCACTTTCTCTTCTCTCCTGCTCATGACTGTCACTCCCCGCTCTTCTCTCAACCCCTCCCTCCTCTTTCGCCTCCCCTCCTTCCCCTCCTTTCCCTCCTTCTCCCCCTTTCCCTCCCTCTCCCCCTTCCCCTCCCTCTCCTCCTTCCCCAACATCCTTTCCCGTTCCTCCCTCCCCGCCCTTCCCTTCCTCCCCTTCTACTTCCCTGTGCGTCCCATCCCCTCCTTTCTCCTCCCCCCCAGAGTGTTCCTTCTTCCCCTTCTCCTTGCCCTTGCCTCCACCACTGCTGATTAACTCCTCCTCCAGACCCTCCAATAGTCTCTTGATCTCCTCATTCCCAGCCAAATCAGCCGCCTTCTCGCCACTTTTGTTCCGCATACCTAATAGCTCCTTTCCCCCTTTCCTAGCCAGTAACCTAACTACCTCCGGAAAGTTCTTGGAAGCTGCAAAGTGCAAGGCAGTCATGCCCTTTCTAGTGGCCGCGGCCGGCTTTGCTCCTTCCGCCAGCAGCGCACGCGTGGCGCTGACGTGGCCCTTCTGCGCTGCGAAGTGGAGCGCTGAAGTGTCGTCCGCGGCTGCTGCGTTGACCGCCGCCTTGCTGGCGCACAACAGGGTGATGACGTCAGCGTGGCCCGCCCAGGCTGCTAGATGGAGCCTGATTGGACGAGCAGTGCGAGACGAAGAGGGACATAGGAGAGGGGGAGGTGGAGGGAGAGGGGAAGGGGTAGGGTTTGGGAAAGAAGGAAAGATGCGGGCGCGGGAGGATATGGTGGAGGTGGGTGGCGGGGATGGGAAGGGGAGAGAAGGGAGAATGGGGGGGAAACGAGGATACTCGATGAAGCATAACAGGGAAGCCTAGGGTTGCCGATAATAAGAAAAATTAGCTGGCATCAGGGAGATAAGGTGAATTATCGGAATTCATAGAGGGCCAACTTAGGGTTTTCAAAGGCAGAATGGACTGATGAGATAGCACAGCAGTTAACCGCGTGTAACAACGCCGAACAGCATCTCGGCTCTTTGAGACGTCTCAAATTTCGCTGGCTCTTACGGCGTGCGGTTCAGCTTATCGCGAGCGTTGACGTCGGCGCCATCCACCACTATCATCCGTCGAACCGCCTCCAAGTCGCCGTTTCGTGCGGCCGTGTGAAGTTCCATGGCGGATCTGTCCTCGTTATTATGTGGCTTCGCTTTCCGATATGATCTCTGCGACATCCTCTGCGAACTTCGTCGTCACCTCAACCACTCAAGAACAACCAGAGGAAGAAACCAGAATTACTACACTATAATCTGCTCCGAACTATATGAACACTAGGCGGATCACCCAAGCTTAAAGGCACCACGAGCATCGCAATCGGAAGGCGCGCCTCGTTCAAGTTCGTTGTTTGGAAGAAGCGAATTAAGCAATGTTATTGACAGTCCCGGAACAAGCAAAAAGTTGTTCCGTAATACAGAAGTGCAGTTATTCCTATATACATTAATGTGATGGCAAGGTCGTTGTTGCGAAGGTTGCGGCGTTACGAATGCAGCAGGTTGCGTATGGAGAATGGGAGGGAGGGTTTCCCAGGCATGCACAGCACATGCCTTCTCCCGCTACAGGACAGCCTGCGCCAGTGGCGACCCTGATGGATGTGGCCCATTGCACAAGTGGATGACTGAGATGGGGCTTGTTCCAGACGTCACTCGACACGATCTCCCCATTTCGAGCTTTGTGACTACATAGGCGGTCCTTGTCGTGTGCTGTTTCAAATGCAACAGATCAGATGAGGCATTGAACGGGCTGACGAGTGAAAATTTGTCGGAGCAACTGCCAAACACCAGGCTAGTGTCGGTGACACACCGGATGCTCCGAATTACTGTACAGGTCTGGTTTGGATGCCGGAAGGGATACACATGATGCCCAACCACTGTGCACGAATCTGTCTTCCATATATCAGAAACTCTGCGCCCAGGGTATAGGCGCGCGGATCAACTTGCGTTTGGGCGAGAAAACGCCAAAGTTTGAATCTTAGGCGCAAAAAAAACCATCCTGACCCGGTTTGTTCTTGTTTCTTGGCCAGAAACAAGCATAAACCGAAAACCTTGAAATAACAACAACACAGGCCCACCAGCACTGATTTGGAAAAAACAAACGAGTTACAACCTGTGTTTATTAGAAGCACCTCAACACCCTGGCGAAATGGAATGAACTGGGCGAAAAATTCAAAACATTTTTAGCCCAAAGCACAGCCCAATTAGGGAAAATCCAAACGGAAATCAGGTGTACACTCGACTCTACTGGCAGGGTTGGGCAGTTGAAAGTGCACATGATTGGCTGTGATGCCATCCCAAATCAGCTGTACGGTATTTTGGATGTGGCGGACTAGCAGTCAGAAAGGACGAAGAGGATGCACAAATGGACAAAAGTTTATGAGAGAAACGACGATTAGCAGCCTCCCAAAACGCGGAGACGCAAATATTGCAGCCTGGCGTCTCGACACCCCTTCTCGCCTCTCTGAACCATTGAAAACTGAACAAGCACCAATCTTTCGCCCCCCTGCACAGTGTTTCGGTCTTTTGAACACGGAAATTGCGTCTTGTGCACAGTGCTGCCCCACTGTCGGTCTCGGCAGCCAGCTCAGGCTCTCATGCTTGTGTGGCCCTTCCCCAGCCTGGAACTGGCGGCGGAATTAAACCCCATTCGAAGCGCAGTTTTGGAAAAATTGTGACGTCCCACGGTGGCAAGACGAACACCTACAGCGTGAAGGTCAGCGAACAGTTTCACCAATGTGGAACATATCCCGAACCAGACAAGAGACTGTGGTCCTCTAAACGGACCCTTACACAGGCCCTGAGCCAAGAAGTGTCCTGCATTCCTTTGACCATTCATGCCTTCCACCAAGGGATCTTGACGCCCATTGCAGCTACTCCGTTACTTTAAAGCGACGGTGCACATTTGCCACCCAAAACCCAGAACCCTGGCGAACTGTTACTGATGATGGAAAATGTCCGCACGAAATCCTGGTTTTCGCCAGCCAGCACTTTCGCGCTGGCAAGCCTGGTTCAAAAAAAAAACTTCTGAACCCAGCACTGCCAAAAGTTGCCCGTCGCTTTAACACGGTTTTGTCTGGTTGTTTGCATTCCAATGTGTTAATTTGCGTTAATAAGCGGTGTTGAACCCACGCGAACCGCAAGTACCAACGCGTTCGACGTGACTATCCAACCGAGCTAGGTCCTCAGCACATGCTCACACTATGTGCTCTCCGTTCTTGCAGCTCCTACAAACTTGCTCACCATTCCACATCACCTGATTTAACGCGCAGCGCTCCTTACACAAATTCCGATTTTTTTGCGGTGACAGTGCCTTCTACGAAACCTCCTCAAAACTGCCCTGTCGTTCCGTCAGTTCCTTATTCCAGTCGCACGAGCCTGCCCTACACGCCGGCGGCAGTATAAATTACCTTTGATCGAGGTTTTTTATTTCACTCAGGAAGGGATTAGCTGTTTAAAAACAGCACGTATCTGATTTCTAGCGCTGCAACTGCTAAACGAGAAATAGTAGGCTCGAGTCAAAATCGTTCCTGTGTTTTCCGGGCTGATCGGCCGCATCGAGTTGACGTCTTTTGTACTACTCCCGATTTCAGGAGTTAGCTTCTGACATCACGAGGGATTTTCCTCCCCGTTACTACCGTCTACGAAAGTTGCTATCTAGCTGAGCGTCTTAGTTACTCCGCTGCATACGATCTGCGAAGGCGTACTTCTCCTCACAGCTTGATAGACTTCACGAGTTCAGAATGACGATTAATCAGCCGAGCAGCTGCACGCCAGGAACCACCCACGCATCATCAAAGCGCCGCCGGTCATTGCAGCGGGCTTACGAGGCTTCAGAACCTTCACCTGCGCTTAGGATGATTGCTTTCGAGGCGCGAGATCATTCTCATCACACGGCCCTACCAGCTTCAGAACCCTTACCTGCCATGGCATCCCGGACCCTCGCTTCTTGTCGAGTTGCGCTAATCGCGGCGTCAATCGCGCTGCTTGTGATGCTCGCTGGAATCCCATCAGCGGCTGCCGTCGCGCCTGCGCCAGTTGCGGTGCACTCGAGCATGTGTAAGCGCCAACTCCTCCGTCCCTCTCTCCGTCCCCACTCTCCCTCCCTCCGTCCCCTCTCCATCCCCACTCTCCATCCCCCATTCGACCGTGCGGAAGCTCCCCGCTCGCTCCCGGGCTCCTTCCACCCGCTTCCCGTTTTCCGTCCACCTCTTCGATCCCCCGCTCCGTTTCCCCCGTGCCGTTCCCCCCTCTCCGTCCCGCTCTGCGCCCCCCTCCCTGCTCCCCTGGTTCCTTCCGCGCACGTCCCAGATTACACGCCCCAGCCTCCCCCCTTCGCCAGTTCTTTCCGCCTGCTTTCCGGTCTCTCCCTCCTCTCACATTCCCCCACCGCTCCCAGACTCTCCCCCCTTCCCTTCCGCAACCCCCGGCCTCCCCCCTTTTTCTCCTCCTCTCTCTTCCCCTTCCTTCCACCTTCCTCCCCTCTCCCCAACCCCCCTCACTTCTCAACTCCGCTAACTAGCCTTTTCGGCTCACCCTCTCTGTTGTAACTCTCTGGTTTTCCGCCCTTCGTTTCCGCAGTCCAACCGCTAAGCGCACTGGGCAAGGCGTTGCGAGTGCCGAGCAGCTATGGTTGGTTGGGCACGCGCGAGTGCAACGACGGGTGGACGGGCGTCGTGTGCGACGCGGACGGCAAGCCGATTTCGATGTGCGTAATAGTTTTGAGTTTGCTTCGACAGTAGTGCAGTTCGCTGAAAATGTGTGTCACGTCGTGTAGATTTTTGCGTTCACTAGCTACAATTAACAAATCGCTTACTGTTTGTTCCTGCCCTACAAATTAATCCGTCCATTTGTATATCCATCCCTCCATCTAACTATCCTTCCATCCGGTCATGCAGACAATTCAAGTCATCATTTAATGGAGGATTCCTCTCTGCTGACGTCACCAAACTCACATCACTCAAATCTCTGTACGTTTCACATGATACAACCTTCTCGCACCATGTACTGTGCAAGGCAAGCTGGTTATAGGAGACTACTCCCCCTAGCGAAGGAGGAAGGTCCTGGGTATACTACATCCTGGATCCTATTTCTCATGTTTTATACTAGATAAATATGTATATTATATATGTATATATATATATATATCCCAAGTATCTAATCATATACATTTATTCGTTTTTTGTGTATCCTATTATGCACTGTATGCAGGCTTCTTGACCAGGTGAACATCGGGGGCTTGATTCCAGCAGGCATGGATAGCCTTCAGCTGCTCACCTCGCTGTAAGCCTCAGCGCATTCGTTATAAACACATGCCGCTCAGTCAGATCACGTGCCATCTGTCGCAGTCACACACTGTTGAATACTCGCGCTCACCACCCTTTCCCCCAACCCCCGTTCTCTCCCCCCCTCTCTTTTTCCGCCTTCCGCCTTCCTCCTTCCCCCACTCCCCCCACGCAACACGCGCAGGTCTCTGAACGGAAAGTATTTAAGGGGGGAAGTCCCGCCTGCATTGGGACAACTCACCAACCTCGTGCATCTGTGAGTTCTGCCTCAGGTGCTGCCTCAGGTGCTGCCTCAGGTGCTGCCTCGGGTGCTGCCTCAGGTGCTGCCTCAGGTGCTGCCTCAGGTGCCTTGGTGCTGCGTGTTGCCCCAGGTGTTGCCTCAGGTGTTGTTTTCATTTGGTCCATCAGGTGGTTGCAGTTTCACTTCCCAGGTTCACTTACCAAGTCCCACTCTGTTTTCGATTCCTCAGCCTCCTTACACTCTTGCTCACCCCTCTCCGCCCCTCTCCACCCCACGCTATCCCTGGCAGGTCCATCAAGGGCGGCGATCTCTTCGGCGGTCTCCCAGAGGAGCTCAGCTCTCTCACGCGCCTCATCCACCTGTGAGTGCCTCGCAGCAGTGCGCGTGTGCTCATTTGTTTGTGTGTGTATGCACGTACTTGTGCTTGTGCGTGTGCGTGTGCGTGTGCTTGTGCTTCCGCCCTCACTCCTTTCAGCCCCTTTGTTCGGCCAGACACTCAAATCCAAAGAGACCATCTCAACACATTCTCCCACCCCCCTCCCTCCCTCCCTCCCTCCCTCCCTCCCTCCCTCCCTCCCCCCAGCGCCATGGGCTCAAAGCCCTCCTTCGACCAGCTCACCAACGTACGAGGACCCCTTCCTGACATTGGGAATCCCCCAATCACCCCCCCATCTCGTCTCCCCCATCCCCCCCAATCTCGTCCCCCCATCCCTCCCCTTTCCCCTCCCCCCAGCGCCATGGGCTCAAAGCCCTCCTTCGACCAGCTCACCAACGTACGAGGACCCCTTCCTGACATTGGGAATCCCCCAATCACCCCCCCATCTCGTCTCCCCCATCCCCCCCAATCTCGTCCCCCCATCCCTCCCCTCTCCCCTCCCCCCAGCGCCATCGGCTCCAAGCCCTCCTTTAGCCAGCTCACCAACATTCGAGGACCCCTCCCTGCTGCCTACTCAACCCTCGTGGCCCTACAGTACCTGTAAGCCCTCCTCCCCCACCCCACCCCACCCCACCCCACCCCACCCCACCCCACCCCCCCCTACCACCCCTCCTTTCCTGCCGCCTGCTCAGCCCTCGTTTCCCTACAGTACCTGTAAGCCCTCCCCCTCCCCCACCTCCTCCCCCCCGCCTTCCCACGCGTACTCAACCCTCGTGGCCAGTACCTCAGAGTCCCCATTTGTCCTTCCTGTAAGCCCCACCCTTTATTCTTTCCCCCTCTTCCCTCATCCCCCTTTATTCTTTCCCCCTCTTCCCTCATCCCCCGTTATTCTTTCCCCCTCTTCCCTCATCCCCCTTTAGTCTTTCCCCCTCTTCCCTCATCCCCCTTTATTCTTTCCCCCTCTTCCCTCATCCCCCTTTAATCTTTCCCCCTCTTCCCTCATCCCCCTTTAATCTTTCCCCCTCTTCCCTCATCCCCCTTTATTCTTTCCCCCTCTTCCCTCATCCCCCTTTAATCTTTCCCCCTCTTCCCTCATCCCCCTTTATTCTTTCCCCCTCTTCCCTCATCCCCCTTTATTCTTTCCCCCTCTTCCCTCATCCCCCTTTATTCTTTCCCCCTCTTCCCTCATCCCCCTTTATTCTTTCCCCCTCTTCCCTCATCCCCCTTTATTCTTTCCCCCTCTTCCCTCATCCCCCTTTATTCTTTCCCCCTCTTCCCTCATCCCCCTTTAGGGTTTCACATCATCCCCCTTTAGGGTTTCACATCATCCCCCTTTAGGGTTTCACATCATCCCCCTTTAGGGTTTCACATCAGTGCGCAAAAGTCCCACTTCCCCCTCTTCCTTATTAGTATACACTGTCAGATCTACCCACTGCCGTCCTGTCAGCCCTACCCGCTGCCGTCCTGTCAGCCCTACCCACTACCGTCCCGTCAGCACTACCCACTACCGTCCCGTCAGCCCTACCCACTACCATCCCGTCAGCCCTACCCACTACCATCCTGTCTTTTCTGCCCTTGGCAACACCACCCACCCATGAGTACTACCCATTCCCACTCACTCTCCCGCTCCCCCCATTCCTGAACCCATCTCTGCAGCGACCTGGGCTTTAATCGCCTCTCAGGCCCGATCCCCGACTCCTGGGGTGCTCTCCAGAACCTCTTCTACCTGTGAGCAGCTCTCTGCCTTTTGCAGACAATTGTGCTCTCTTTTCTTTCTTTTCTTTCTTTTCTTTCTTTCTTTTTTTTTGTTTCTTTCTTCTTTGAGAAATCTCAAAAGTGCTCTCCAGAGCCTCTTCTACCTGTGAGCAGCTCTCTGCCTTGCTTTCTGTGCTCACTTTGTGCTCTTTTTAGTGTAGTCGGCTACGTCGCGCACAGTACGAGTCGTGCTTGTAATGAGTACGACAAGACAATCACGTGCCTGCTGAGTGCTCACATGCTCCGTGCCGTGCCACCCCCGCCACCCCCGCCACCACCGCCACCACCGCCACCACCGCCACCACTGCCACCACTGCCACCACTGCCACCACTGCCACCACTGCCACCACTGCCACCACTGCCACCACCGCCACCACCGCCACCACCGCCACCACCGCCACCACTACCACCACTGCCACCACTGCCACCACTGCCACCACTGCCACCACTGCCACCACTGCCACCACTGCCACCACTGCCACCACTGCCACCACTGCCACCACTGCCACCACCGCCACCACTGCCACCACCGCCACCACTGCCACCACTGCCACCACTGCCACCCCCGCCACCACCGCCACCACTGCCACCACTGCCACCACTGCCACCACTGCCACCACTGCCACCACTGCCACCATTGCCACCACTGCCACCACCGCCACCACTGCCACCACTGCCACCACCGCCACCACCGCCACCACCGCCACCACCGCCACCACTGCCACCACTGCCACCACTGCCACCACTGCCACCACTGCCACCACTGCCACCACTGCCACCACTGCCACCACCGCCACCACCGCCACCACCGCCACCACCGCCACCACCGCCACCACCGCCACCACCGCCACCACCGCCACCACTGCCACCACTGCCACCACTGCCACCACCGCCACCACCGCCACCACCGCCACCACCGCCACCACCGCCACCACCGCCACCACTGCCACCACTGCCACCACTGCCACCACTGCCACCACTGCCACCACTGCCACCACTGCCACCACCGCCACCACTGCCACCACTGCCACCACCGCCACCACTGCCACCACTGCCACCACCGCCACCACCGCCACCACCGCCACCACCGCCACCACCGCCACCACCGCCACCACCGCCACCACTGCCACCACTGCCACCACTGCCACCACTGCCACCCCCGCCACCACCGCCACCACTGCCACCACTGCCACCATCGCCACCACTGCTACCACTGCTACCACTGCCACCACTGCCACCACTGCCACCACCGCCACCACCGCCACCACCGCCACCACCGCCACCACCGCCACCACTGCCACCACTGCCACCACCGCCACCACTGCCACCACTGCCACCACTGCCACCACCGCCACCACCGCCACCACCGCCACCACCGCCACCACCGCCACCACCGCCACCACCGCCACCACTGCCACCACTGCCACCACTGCCACCACCGCCACCACCGCCACCACCGCCACCACCGCCACCACCGCCACCACTGCCACCACTGCCACCACTGCCACCACTGCCACCACTGCCACCACTGCCACCACTGCCACCACCGCCACCACCGCCACCACCGCCACCACCGCCACCACCGCCACCACTGCCACCACTGCCACCACTGCCACCACTGCCACCACCGCCACCACCGCCACCACCGCCACCACCGCCACCACTGCCACCACTGCCACCACTGCCACCACTGCCACCACCGCCACCACTGCCACCACTGCCACCCCCGCCACCACCGCCACCACTGCCACCACTGCCACCACTGCCACCACTGCCACCACTGCCACCACTGCCACCACTTCCACCACTGCCACCACTGCCTGCCACCACCGCCACCACTGCCACCACTGCCACCACCACCACCACTGCCACCACTGCCACCACCGCCACCACTGCCACCACCGCCACCACCGCCACCACCGCCACCACCGCCACCACTGCCACCACTGCCACCACTGCCACCACTGCCACCACTGCCACCCCCGCCACCACCGCCACCACTGCCACCACTGCCACCACCGCCACCACTGCCACCACTGCCACCACTGCCACCACTGCCACCACCGCCACCACCGCCACCACCGCCACCACCGCCACCACTGCCACCACTGCCACCACCGCCACCACTGCCACCACCGCCACCACTGCCACCACTGCCACCACCGCCACCACCGCCACCACCGCCACCACCGCCACCACTGCCACCACTGCCACCACTGCCACCACTGCCACCACTGCCACCACCGCCACCACCGCCACCACCGCCACCACCGCCACCACTGCCACCACCGCCACCACTGCCACCACTGCCACCACTGCCACCACTGCCACCACTGCCACCACTGCCACCACTGCCACCACTGCCACCACTGCCACCACTGCCACCACTGCCACCACCGCCACCACTGCCACCACTGCCACCACTGCCACCACCGCCACCACTGCCACCACCGCCACCACCGCCACCACCGCCACCACCGCCACCACCGCCACCACCGCCACCACCGCCACCACCGCCACCACTGCCACCACTGCCACCACTGCCACCACTGCCACCCCCGCCACCCCCGCCACCACTGCCACCACTGCCACCGCCGCCACCGCCGCCACCACCGCCACCACTGCCACCACTGCCACCACTGCCACCACCGCCACCACCGCCACCACTGCCACCACTGCCACCACTGCCACCACTGCCACCACTGCCACCACTGCCACCACTGCCACCACTGCCACCACTGCCACCACCGTCACCACTGCGACAACTGCCATGACCTTAAATCACAACTCGCTGCTCTCTCAGCCAATACCTTGAATCAGTTTTCTCACTTTTCTCACTTTCCTCACTTTTTTCACCTTTCTCACTTTTCTCACTTTTCTTCACACCCCCATTTCCATCTCTCTTTTGGCAGGTCCATGCCCAGCAACCTGCTCTCTCACCACATCCCCACGGCTGTTGCCAGCCTTCCCCATCTGGACTACGTGTGAGTGTTACCCGCCCCGTTTGGTCTATGTGTGTGTGTTACCCTGCCCCATCTGGTCTACGTGTGAGTGTTACCCGCCCCGTTTGGTCTATGTGCGTGTGTTACCCTGCCCCATCTGGACTATGTGTGAGTGTTACCCTGCCCCATCTGGACTATGTGTGAGTGTTACCCTGCCCCATCTGGACTATGTGTGAGACTTACCCTGCCCCGTCTGGTCTATGTGTGAGCCTTACCCTTCCCCATGTTACCCTGCTCCATCTGGACCCCTGCTCCGTGCATGGCATCTGCATGCCATGCATTTGTAGTTGTTGCATGTGCACATGCATGTGTAGTTGTTGCATGTGCACATGCATGTGTAGTTGTTGCATGTGCACATGCATGTTCCTTATCGACCGTTTACTTTGTCTCACGCGTCCGCCCTCTCGTTCTTTCTCACTCTTCTGCTTCCCCCCTCCACAGAAATCTCGCCAACAACGCTCTATCCGGCGAAATACCCGCATTCTCAGACACAGTAGACCTCCTACACGTGCCCCGGAACCTCCACACTGGCAATCTTCCCCGCCTCCCGCTCCTCATCACCTCCCTCTCCGTCGCCAACAATTTCCTCACGGGTCCCCTCCCGAACGTCTTCCCGCCGCAACTAAAATCTCTCGACCTCCGGAGGAACTATTTCGTTGGGTCCGTTCGGTTGCAGTTCGGGTTAAGTCCGGCTTCGGCAACGCCAATTTCGACGTGTACGAATATGAGACTTGCGGGAAATTGCTTGTCTTCGAAATCGGACTGCGCGAATAGAAAAGGGCAACGCAGGCAGTACCGGTGCCGGAATTTGTGCGGGTCGTTCGGATGGAATTCAAAATCGACTTCTGGGACTCAGTGCGGAGGGTTGGGACAATGTCGGCCGCTTTCTAAGAGACGTGGCTGGCGGAAAGCCATTCTTTGGACCTGCAGGTGTGATGCGGGTGCAAGGCCAGCAATTTTGAAGGGTTTTCAAACCTGTGTGAAAATGTAACTAATCCTTATCCTGTTTGGAACCATGCACTTGGCTTGGTAGAGTTTGTATTATGTGGTATGCATTAGGTGATGGAACCATGTACTTGGCTTGGTTGAGTTAGTACTTCATACTAGCGAATGTGTTGACTTAAAATGTGGGATTGTAGCGGAGCTGCAGTTCGCCTTGGCTGCCCAATCGAAGCCCTTCCCTCCGTCACATGGTCGCCTGTAATGTGCTGTTGCCAGGTCAGCTTTTCGTGATCCGACGTATGAGCGAATCAGCACGCAAGAAGCCCCACCTCACCCTTCGTTGTAGTCGTCACGCAAGAATGTCCCTCGTCGAATCAACGCCAGAGATTCAATTATTTTGGGCACTTGTTCAGCGCCGGTCAGGTCGAGAACTTGCCCCATTCCTGCCCCGACGAAGTTCCTTCCCCCCATTTTCCCCGCCCCTCGGCGCATGCGTCGCGCTAAAAGTTCGGGAACTCCGCGCCCCTCAATTCCACCCCACTGAGCTCATCAATCTTCCCCATTTTCGCGCAGCAGCTCACCTGCGGGCAAGAGCGGGAAGTCGGGCCGGATAGAAAAGAAAAGAAAGAGAAATGACTTGTGCCCAAGAAATGGCTGCTGCCTGCTTGTGTTTGCCTCGGTGATTTATTTCTAATAAGCACGCTTGGCGGTGTGCCATGACGTGCTGGGACGTCACAAAGCAGTAAAATACGGTTCTTATATGTTGCCTGGTGTCTGGGAACGGTTGGGTGTTACGTCACCAGCTAATAATGTCCTTGAGCCCAGATTTCGTTTTTTACAGCAGAGCGAAAGCGCATCCCAACTCAGCCTCCCAAGAAGCTTTGATAGAAGCTTCGTGCTTCAGCTTTTCGTGTTGTAGCCGCCCCCATAGCTCGTTCGCGTCACTGCTTATTTCCTGTTTAGTATATTTTTTTGGAGCTAATTGAGCCTGATCAGTCACGGTCACCGTCGCGTGGACCGTCCTGTCGTGTGCGATATTTGCGGATCCATTATTCACGGATGAACGAATCTAGTGCGTCCGCGACACCACACCACGCCACGCCACTCCACACCGCACCGCACCGCACCCCGGCGCGCAAAGTTCAGCGAGATCGAAGAACAAGCGTCGCGCGACGAGCAATAAGTGCCGAACGGATTGTTTCCTTTCGCCGTTGTGCGCGGTGCTTTTTGAATAAGGTCGAGCAGAGGGAATAAGGTGACCGGCGAACTGCATTACCTTTTTGGCGACTGTCGAGTCCGCTCGACAAGGTCTGAATTCGAGGGAGCCGCATTGGTCTGCTCCTTATACCTTCTCAGGCGTCAACCGTCGGCCGGATTGAACGGAGCATCTCAACAGCCGGATTTAACGAAAGACCACGACGGCGTTCTGCGATGTTCGCGCCGCCTCGAGCATCGCTCCCCGATATCCCATCAACTCGCACGCGCCGTCGATCTATTATTTCTCGGGGATAGTCAGAAATCTGGGGACCAATAACGGATATATAGAAGCCGTCGTTGCAGTAACAAGCAGTTGGCGCGCAAAGTTTGCCACCAGATCCGCGTTACAATTCCAAAGCCAGTGTCAACACTCGTTCGCGTGTCAACTCTCGTGTCAACTCAGCATGCAGAAGTGGCTGGGCGAGCTCCCCGAGGAGCGCCGGTCGCAGATCTTCAGCGGCGTCGCGGGCGCCGGTGCAGGTGAATGGCCACGTCAGACTCTTGTTGACTCGTCAGACTCTTGTTGACTCGTCAGACTCTTCTCACTTCAGACTTGATCGATTGTTTCAAAATGCGCACAAGTGCCATTCCAACCATTCCCCATTTCTCTTCCGTCTCCTTCCCGTCTCCATTCCGTCTCCTCTCCCTTTTCTCTCCGTCTCCTTCTCGTCTCCATTCCGTCTCCTCTCCCATTTCTCTTCCGTCTCCTTCCCGTCTCCATTCCGTCTCCTCTCCCTTTTCTCTCCGTCTCCTTCCCGTCTCCATTCCGTCTCCTCTCCCATTTCTCTTCCGTCTCCTTCCCGTCTCCATTCCGTCTCCTCTCCCTTTTCTCTCCGTCTCCTCCGTCTCCGTTATCCCGCGTACCAATCCAATCGCCAGGCGCCATAGCCGCCACGTTAGTCGCGCCGCTCGATGTCGTCAAAACGCGGCTGCAAGTGCAGTCAATCCCTCGCTCCCAGCCACAACCGGCTGCCGGCAGCTCTACCGGCCAAACAACCGGCAGCCTCACGGCCGCCGCCCAACTCAACCAACACTCCAACCCTACCCCAGCGCAACCCTCTAACCGCGCAAGCGGTAACCTGGGCGTTTCCGCTTCCGCTTCCGCTTCCCCGTCCCCTTCTCCCCACGCGCAAGCTACAGTTCCCCCCTGCAGCTCCGCCAATCCCGCCTTCCCCTCTACGCACTCGGGGGGGCCCCGCTCCTCCGCCGCAGGTGTCCCCGTTATGAGCAGCCTCGCTGGAAGAAACGGGCTTTCTATTGCACGCGCAGGGATAGGCAGGCAAGCGGGCGCGGGACACGAAGCCTCCGCTTGCGCCACATCGGGGGGGCCGCATTCCCGCCCGCCTGGTTCCCCGCACTCCCCGGGGCCTCCGCTTCCCCCCCGGGGAAATGCAGCTGGGAGCGGGGCGGGCGCAGCAGGGGCGCATGCGCGCGCGGGTAGGGCGGCGGGCGCGAAGGCGGGGGTGATTGCGACGACGCTCCGCGCCATCTGGCGGGAGGAGGGCATCCGCGGGCTGTACAGGGGACTCTGCCCCTCCGTCGTGGCGCTGCTGCCGAACTGGGCGGTAAGGAGGGCGCGTTGGGGGAAAAAAGGGGGGGAATGGGGCAGGAGGGGGAGGGGGGTAAGGGGATGAGGGCATCCGCGGGCTGTACAGGGGGCTGTGCCCCTCCGTGGTTGCGCTGCTGCCGAACTGGGCGGTAAGGGGAACGTGGGGCAGGGGCTGAGAGGGGAGAGGAGGAGGATGGGGGAGGGGCGGTTTCGAAAGGGGAGGGAATGTACAGGGGGTTGTGCCCGTTCGGGGTTGCGCTGCTGCTGAACTGGGCGGTAAGGGGAGGGTGAGCTGGAAGAGGGGGAAGAGAGGCGGGTTGGTGCAAAGGAAAAGGGAGAGGGGGTTGAAAAAAATAACAGAAAACGAAACATTGACAAAAACAGAAGCAACAGCAACAACGAAGCAAACAAGAGCGGGAGCAGAGAGGAGAGAGGGGGGAACTCCGTTCAAACCTACTCCGTTAAGAGGTGTACTTCTCAGTGTACGGCCATCTCAAGAAGATGCTCAAAGCGAGGAGCCATGGGCATCCCCTCTCTCATGCTTAGGCTAACATGTTGTTCGCTCCAACCCATCACCCCACAGGTGTACTTTTCAGTGTACGACCATCTCAAGAAGATGCTCAGTGCACCCGACTCCCATTTCCCCGGGAGCAGCAGCAGCAGCGCAGGGAGGGTATGCACGGAGGAAGGGTGCGCTGGTAGTGCCAGCAGCACACTCGCCAGCACCCCTGGTGTGAGGTGCACGGGGGTGTCCTGTACAGGGGACTGCACGGGCTAACATGTGGTCTGCCCCGACCTTGCCCCACCTCCCTCCCCACCCACAGGTGTACTTTTCAGTGTACGACCATCTCAAGAAGATGCTCAGTGCACCCGACAGCGCAGGGAGGGTATGCACGGGGGAGGGCTGCACTGGTAGTGCCAGCAGCACGGGAGGCAGCACCTCTGGTGTCAGGTGCACGGGGGTGGCCTGTACAGGGGACTGCACTGGAGTCCCCTTCCCCTCCTCCTCCTCTGCCCCTCCGCCGCTGCTCACCAGCGTTACGGCAGCAGCGGGTGCCGGTGCTGCCACTGCCATTCTCACCAACCCCCTCTGGGTCGTGAAAACGCGCCTGCAGGTATGCAAGGGGGAGATCAATAACGCGTATACGAGGGCTGCTTGTAAAGTTGCAGAGAAACAAAGAGACTGTGTTGCTTGCAGGAGGGTGGGTGGGTGGCAACAGGTGCTGCCACTTCCTTTCTCACCAACCTCCTCGGGGTCGTGAAAATCCGTCTGCAGGTAAGAGGTGGGGGGGGATGATAACAGGTGTACCAAGGCTGCTTGTTCAGTGGAAGGTTCTTTAGTCGACAAAAACAGGTGGAGGGGGGAGATAATAATGCGTTCTGGGAGATAATAAACCGCTCTGGGTTGTAGAAACTCGCTTGCTGGTATGGGGGAGGGTAACAGCCGCATGCCTCTCCCGTGCCTGCCCCACGCCTGTCACCTGGTATGTTTTTGAGAATTCTTAAAAACACCCTGCAGCATCATGGGGGAGGGTAACAACCGCGTGCCTCTCCCGTGCCTGCCCCATGCCTTCCCCAATTCTCTCCCATGCCTTTTCCAACTTCGATGTTTCCTTCCTCATGCTCCCTTTTCCCGCCACACGCCAGACCCCACTGGGGTCTGCTCCCCCACACCGCCATTCGGCCGTCGGCTCCCTACAAGGGCATCAATCTTTCCTACAATCACTGACCCCGCTTTCCTGCTTCCCCCTTCCCTGCCCTATTCCTATTCCTGCCAGTCCCACGGGGACTTCCCCTTCCCCTTCACTCAACCGCATGGATGTCTACCTACTAAGGCATCAATCACTGAACCACTGCCGCATTCATGGATGACCCCTCTCTCCTTCTTCCCCCATTCCCCCAACTCCGTCCTTCTCATCCCTGCCAGACCCAGGGCCTGCGCCCCCATCGCCTGCCGTACAAGGGAACGGTGTCGGCACTGGTGCGGATCTTCAGAGAGGAGGGCGTGGCAGGGCTGTACAGGTGTGTGCGTGTGTGTGCGAGAGCGCGCGAGCGCGCGAGGGAGTGAGGGAGTGAGGGAGGGAGGGAGTGAGGGAGGGAGGGCGGGAGGGAGTGAGTAAGGGCCTGCGCCCCCATCGCCTGCCGTACAAGGGAACGGTGTCGGCACTGGTTCGGATCTTCAGAGAGGAGGGTGTTGCAGGGCTGTACAGGTCTGTGGTGTGAGAGGGGGGGAGTGAGTGAGTGAGTGATTGAAGGGAGGAGGGAGTGGCAGGGTCGTATAGGTGTGTGTGAGGGAGTGAGTGAGAGAGGAGGGAGTGAGTGATTGTGCATGTGTGATATTGTTGTCCCCTCCCTCCCTCCCCATCTCTTCATTCACTCACCTTCCAATCTTGCTCCCCTCTCTCTCTCCTCATCCCCATTTCTCTCACTCGCCTCCAACCTTGCTCCTCGTTCTCCCATCCTCACAGTAGGGTGGTGCCAGCGCTGGCAGGAGTGAGCCACGTGGCCATCCAGTTTCCCCTCTACGAGCACCTCAAGCAGACCATGGCGGAGAGAGCAACCACCCCCTCCCCTTTCCTGTACCCCATTTCTCTCCTTGGGAACACCCTTTCTCCCTCCCAGTGGAGTGGTACCAGCGCTGGCAGGAATGAGCCACGTGGCCATCCAGTTCCCTCTCTACGAGCACCTCAAGCAGACCATGGCGGAGAGAGCAACCACCTGCCCCCCCCTTCCCTCCCTTTCTCCGCTTCTCTCCTGCAGTGGGGTGGTGCCAGCACTGGCAGGGGTGAGCCACGTGGCCATCCAGTTTCCCCTCTACGAGCACCTCAAGCAGACCATGGCGGAGAGAGCAAACACTAGTGTCGATAAGCTATCGCCCATCGACCTCGCTCTGGCCTCCGCAGTCTCGAAAGTCGTGGCCTCCACCCTCACATACCCTCACGAGGTACAAGTGTGTGCCGGCGTGTTTGTATATATCATGTGGGTGTATATATATATACATATATATATATGTCTTTTTTTTGTTATTGCTAGACACATAGATTCTCATTGCATTATACCTCACTCACTCGTCTGTCCATGCACGTGTGTGGGATGTGGCAGGTGGTGCGGTCGCGACTGCAGGAGCAAGGCAGAGCAATCGCAGCAGCGGGAGCAGATAGCAGTGTGCCCCGCTATCTTGGTGTCATTGACTGCATCCAAAAGGTGCCTTTTTCATATCCTTGCTGGACTTTTTTCTCCCCTCTCCTCCCACCCCCTCCCCCCCCCCCCCCCCCCCCCCCTCCTCCACCCCTTCGTTTGCCTTTTTGTCGTCACTCTCTCATGCACGAGCATCCCCTCCACATCTCTCTCTTCCTCGCTTAAAAGGAGCACAGCTTCTTTCTGTGTTATGCTTGCGTACAGATTATCAAATACGAAGGTGCTCAAGCGTTTTACAGAGGATGCGTTGCCAACTTGTACAGAACTACTCCAGCAGCTGTCATCACTTTCACTTCATTTGAGCTTCTGCTTCGGTTTCTTCCTGTAGCATTTCCGCTGGCCGACGCGCAAGTGTTGGTGGTGGATGCGGCAGATCAGGAATAGAATATTTCAGAGGTTATGTGTCCTCGTTTTTAATATGAGATGTTATTTGTTCCATCGTCTTGTTACGTGTTCGACTTCTGTGCAAGCTAGTGTTGTTCGAGTCAAATGGTCGGTGAAACTGTGCTGGTCCCAGCCCAGAAACTGTGCTGACTGCTCAACAGAAGCTTCCCGCGCTGCTTGGCTGAAAAGCTTTCGCCGTCAGCGTCTTGCCAAGGGCTAGCTTGCATTCCACGTCAGCAACATGCACTCATACAACTTGAATGATTTTGCTTACTCTACGGTGCCAAACGGTTGATTGCATGTTTGGTTACATGACAGAGGGTTCTAGCGGGACTGTCACTGAGCAGAGCCATCAAGTTCGCGTGACACGCAAAAGGTGCTGCAGACAAATGGGAAATCGACGGTCCTGAAGAAGTTTCTCCCTCCCTCCTGTCCTCATCGGCGGTTCCTCGATTCTTCCTAATCCGCAACTTCCCGAAAGAATCAGTCCCGCGTACGCTTCTGGCTAATTCAACAGTGGCACGGAAATCCACCACCACCACCTCTCAACACTGTCACCTCTACCAAGCCGTTTAAACCGTATCTATCCTAGCCTTTTGCCAACCGCAAACCTTTATCCTGTGTCAGCATGCGAAACCCCTTCCGCTCGATCCTGACCGTATTCCCTCCCGCACGCAACTCCCAAACCAGGCAGTCGTGCTATCTCTCCGCCCATTCAACCCCCATCCCGCCACCCTCTCCCGCCCCCATGCTCCCCATTTTTCCGCACCTCTTTCCATCCTTTCCCGTTTCTCCCGAAGCCCCTTCCGTTATTCCCACCCCCCCCCCTCCCCCCCCCTCACCCGCTTTCCCCACCAACAGTTTCACCCCCCTGCGTGCTACCCACCCACCACATCCTTCCCACCCCCTTCCTCCCCACCCTGCCCTCTCCACGGCTTCTGTTCGTTTCTTTCTGCTTCCTCGATTCTTCCGTGCATTTGTTATTTCTGTGAAGTGCGGTCTCGACTTGGCAAGCACACGCGGCACCCTCTTTTTCAACCAGTGGCCGTTTCGAACCGCTTTTTTCATCAAAACGAGCTGGTGAGCAGAAATATCTGATCAGTTAATGAATCCGCATGTGCGCCTAAGCCGAACTAATTTACTGTCGCTGCGCTATGTTGGCCTGTAGATTATTTGAACAACTCAGCTGTCGCCAGAGCATGGATCTTGAACAGCGGTATGGGGAGAAAAGACCTTTCGAAGAAGGGAACGGGGAAAGTCAATCTCCCGAAAAAAGACATCGAGGACCAACGATAGCTAAGTAGGTTGCTGCTGCGCTGACTGTTTTGCGAAGTGTCTTGTGTCGCCGCGTCGTCGTCTCTTCGTAAGACTAACAACCTCGCGCTTATGTGTTATCTCCAGTGTCGTTGTGGAGACGGTTAAGATGGACAATTTGGCGAAATTGTGCACCGTTTTGGAGCCGTTGCTTCGACGCGTGGTACGCGGGAAGACTCGCTCGTACAAGATGCGTCATTTTTCTTTGATTATTATCTCTATGTATTAACAAGTCGACTAGTTTTTCAGGTGTCTGAAGAAATTCAAAAAGCGTTTGCAACCTTCCAGCCGTCATCCAGCTCTAAGCCGCCACTACGGTAGGTTCTTATTGAAGCCCTGATTTAACTCACTGTAAGGGATCGGCTGTTTCTCGTCTATAACTTATTGGCGCAGAGCATGAAAACTTCGGTGGTGAGCCTTTCCTTGACCCACACCTATTTTCGGCGATTAGTTTCTCACGGTGGTGATGTGTTTTGCACGAGAAGGGGTGTAAAAGGCTTGTCTGGAAAAAGGTGTGAGACCAAATTTGAAAAAGGAGGTATGGCGGCGATTTTGCTTGCTCAAGTCCAGATGGAATGTTGGATGGTAAAGAAAAGCGCTGATGTGGTTGTTGGAAACGGTTATCAAGTGCCAATTAGTTGCTGGAAACTGTGGCTAGGTGTAATTGTGCTTTCATGGCAGACCAGGTATTTGAAGCTGTTGACACTCTGCCGAGCCGAAGGATTTTCTTATTGGCTGGTCGTTTTCTGGTTTCTGTCCCTTTTCCTCTGAGCTCTTGAGCTTATAGTTTGCAGTTTATGCTGTATTTTGTTTCTGTGCCCAACTCCACCATATTCCAGCAGTCTTGAAGCTCCTAAACGACTACCAGCCAATGGCGTCAAGCGTGATTTGAGGCTGCAATTCCGCAACAAGTTGGCACTTCCTTTGTTCACTGGAGGGAAGGTGGAGGGCGAAGGGAGTGAGCCAATCCGAGTGTTTCTCCAGGATGGAGATACAGGTTCTGTGGTTACCACAGGACCAGAGGCCAATCTGAAGCTTGAAGTTGTGGTGCTTGAAGGAGATTTCAGCAGAGATGATGAAGATGATTGGCTACCGGTAAGAACTCTCGTTGTCCGCCCTTGTGCTTCAATATTCCTCGAAATGTTTTGGCTCTGCGTTTCGTCCTTTTCTGTAGTCTCAGACTGAAGAACCTGCTGTTCTGTGCAGGGAGAATTCGACCAGTTTTTGGTGAAAGAGAGAGATGGAAAGAGGCCACTTTTGACTGGCGAGACGTTTGTGGTGCTGAAAGACGGGCTAGGGGTTATGGGCGAGATCACGTTCACAGACAACTCCAGTTGGATCCGGAGTCGCAAGTTTAGGTTGGGAGTGAGAGTGTCGCCAGGGCAGGTTGGGGAGAGCAGGGTACGAGAAGGGAAGACAGAGGCGTTCACAGTGAAGGATCACCGTGGAGAATGTGAGTTGCTGCGGGGTTCCTTGAATGTTTGGCCACTTGGGTTTTGGTTTATTTCCTATCATACAATGGGATTGAATCCGGCCTGATTGAAAGACGGCTCGCTGATGCTGTTTCCCTTTTCCATTGTTCATCCTGGCTGTGCAACAGTGTACAAGAAGCACTACCCGCCTGCGTTGACAGACGAAGTGTGGCGGTTGGATCGCATAGGCAAGGATGGCGCCTTTCACAAGCGCCTGAATCAGGCTGGAATTTTCACAGTGGAGGATTTCCTACGGCTTGTTGTCATGGACCCACAAAAACTACGAAATGTAAGTGTTTTTTTTTTCCCTTTTTTTTGGAAGCCTCTTGCACATTTACGTAGCTGATGTGCGTTCCTGAATTTGATTCGCCTTTTTGTTTCCCAGATTCTTGGTTCAGGCATGTCAAACAAGATGTGGGAGAACACGGTGGAGCATGCAAAGACATGTGTGCTGAACGGCAAGCTGCATGTGTACTATGCGGATGACAAGCAGAACATTGGCGTCATCTTCAACAACATCTTCCAGCTCATGGGCCTTATTGCAGACAGCCAGTACATGTCTGTGGATCTTCTTTCTGAGAGTGAAAAGGTAAAAAAAAATATTCTTCTATTCTAACATCAGTTTTCTGCTGCAGATAATAAAAAACGAGTGTGGTTTCTGAGTAGAGAACCAACAGTTGACTCTTCAATTTCAAAGTATTCAGGAGTTCACATCAATGGGCCATGGCAGCTGCTGGTGCATTCAATTCGATGACTATCTACATTTCTCGTTTAAACCCTGTGGTTCTCTGATGCAGATTTACGTGGATAAGCTGGTGAAGGTTGCGTACGAGAACTGGGAAAATGTTGTGGAGTATGATGGGGAGGCTCTTATAGGGGTCAAGCCAAACGGGCTAACAACTCTTGATGCCACCACTGATGACCCTGGTGCAACACAAAGAAGTTACTCCTCCGGCCAGTACACATGAGACATCTGCTGCAGTTGTCTGATTCCCTGGTGAGCTCCCCCCCTGCTTCCCCCCCCACTCCCCTCCCTTCCCTATCCCTCTTCCTCTCCCGCCCCCTCCCTCCACTCTCTCGCCTCTTCTCCCTGATACCCGCACATGTTCACACGCATACGCACAGCGGCATGTATGGCCCAGCAAGAGCATCGTCTGCACACTACACTACACACTGCATGTGTACTAGAAACGCTCCACTCTGCTCGCCACATTTTCACATTTTCCTGTTCCCTTGCGTTTAATGCCCGCAGCTTAAGTTCAAGCTTACTGATGTTGCCTATTTTGTGTGTTTGCAGGTTGTACAAAATGTAGGACATGTTCATCTAGGGTACCTTGATTACTCAAGGAGCAAATGGTACTTGTTTAGCTTATGGATCGTGGTTGCTTTAGCGTATCTGATATTGGATTCATCCATCAATTTTGTTGTGCAGATGGATGTGATAATGCCCCTCAGCTGAAGGCCACAAACGGCTTTTGCACATTTGATTTTTGGGTCTGTATCAGGTAGTCATGGCCACTCATCTTATTGCCGAAGTCAGCACTAAGGGTGAAAAACAGTTTCGCCGTACACAATCATTCGGGCCTGCATCTCTGCCTTCAGGGGCTAAATCTACGGCATCGCATGCCACCTCATCCTGACGCAGAAGCAACCACATACACGTACAACTTGCGTCCATCATGCATCTTTTAGCCAATCAAGCTGATCCAGGTGAGAGGCAGTCTGGTTTAAGTGGATGATGGGTTGTGCGTCAGAGAGGCGCCTCGGCGTAGTCCTCCACCTCAGCTGAATAGCCGCATGGCACAGCCTGATGTGCTTGAAGATCTTTCATAACTGATGAGCCGGGCAGCACGAAAACAAGTCACTCCTGCTGCATGGGAATTTCATCCCTGTATGTGCATGGCCTTCCCGCACTCCCATTGGCGTAACTCTCTCTGGGCAGACGGAATGGGATAATAAATGGACCGCTACCCTCCCTCAACATCACTTCTGCCCCTCTCACAACAGAGGGAGCAGGAGGAGGGGGGTGCATTGGGGATTGGCGTTGTGCAAAGCTCTGCGGCACAAGGCATGAATGTGAGTGAAGCATGAGAACCTAGCTGAAACGGAATGCGCTCCAGCTGGAAGTGGGCAAGAAAGCATGCCTTGTCGCCCCACCAAGCCAAGGTGGGATATTCATACCTCTCAGTAACTTAGCTCCTCTTGCTTGACACTCAAGAGCTTGCACCAGCGGCATCTAACCCCTCATTTGAGGTGTTCGCATCTACGAATTCATATCGTTTTCAGGCTCTCTCGTTCATGAATTTCATTAGTTTCATTTGTCACGCTCTCTTGCAGCCATTCTAGTGTCGTCTATTCGTGCTTCGAGGGGACGTGCCGTCGCGGTTCCGCCGTTTCATCTGCATCATCTGCACCTGTTTCGTCTCAAGCCACTCTATCTGGAGTCATTCTATCTGAAACCCTTTCATCGCGAATACCATTGTGACATCACAAACATTTCGGTGACCGCGTGGGATACAGCAATGGCTTCTCTGTCCTCAGTCACCCCGCTCTTGTTCCTTCGGCCGCCGGCAAGCGGAAGCTGAAGTTGTCGCTGGGTGAATAGAGGCGCCCAACTCTGTGAAGCCGCTGTTGCGTTGGAGCATGCGATTTGTTTGAAGCGTTTTCAGGCCTTTTAAGCCACGCCAGGAAGGACGAGAGAAAAGGACGGGAAACGGAGACAGGGACAAGAGGAAGGTTAAGAATACGGAACGAGAACGGGAGCACGTTGACGCTATGGGTGGCGCGTGCTCTCGTCGACTCCGCCCCAGCTCCAGCGGCTACGGCGGCGGCTCCACCAGCGCCGGCGGCGGCGGCGGAGGCGGAGCGATGGAGGGAGGCTCCATCCGGGGGAGGTTGAGCGCGGAAGGCATATTCGCGAGCGAGCGGCGGCACCTGCACCACTGCCACCAGCACTGCCAGGGGCCGCGGTTCCACTGCGACGGACAGGACGTCCACGTGGATTGGGACGTTGCTGACGATGCTCGCGACGGGGACGAGTGCGGCGAGGAGCTCCCGTGGTCCACGGCGTCGATTCCCGTTGCCACGTGAGTTGCTATTCGCTTTCCGCCCCTAAGCTGGTGTGATGCGCCCTGTCTCTCACCACTTCCTAGGTTGTATGTCTTGCCCCACCTTCTTCTCCCACTTTCTCCCCCATCCCGTCCGTCTTCCCTCACCCCCGTCTTTTCGGTGCAACTCACTTCCTTCCTTTTGCGCCCGACCCATCAATTGTTTTTCTTTTCTTTTCTCTTCCCTTTCTTTTTAACACCGTTTTCCTGGCAGGCTGAGCCAACGGTCTTTGTCAGGGGCGAGAATGGGCAGCGCGAACAGCCAGGGCAGGGTTACTAGTGGAAGCAGAGGTAACACCGAGAATTGTGGCAGCCGCAGCCTCGGCAGCAGCAGCCTCGGCAGCAGCAGCCTCGGCAGTAGCAGCCTCAGCAGCAGCAGGCCCGGCAGTAGCAGCCTCGGCAGCAGCTCGAGCAGCGGCACCACCATCAGCGACGGTAGCATGTTTACCGTCCGCAGCACACGCAGCACGCGCAGCACGGGCAGCACGAGCAGCACGGGCAGCACGGGCAGCACGAGCAGCACGGGCAGCACGGGCAGCACGAGCAGCACGGGCAGCACGGGCGGCGTGGGCAATCATCAGCAGCACGGGAATGATGGAGGCAGAATGCGCAGTGAGACGGCGTCGCCTGTTGGGATCCCCAGGGGTGATGGCGAGCAGGGACACGAGAGCGAGGAGCGGGGAGCAAACGTGGTTATGTGGCTAGATGCAAACGTAACTGTCGATGGTGATGGTGATGGTGGTGTCAGTGCTGGTGGTGGTGGCGGTGGCAGTGGTGCTGCTGCTGTTGTTGCTGACGGTGTTGCTCCTGGTGATCGTTCTGGTCCTGCTACTGCTGCTGCTGCTGCAACTCCGTCTGGTGCTTCTGCTGCTGCTGCAGCGGCTGTAGCCAGTGCTGCTGCTGCCACGACGGCTTCAACGACCAGCCGTGGGGGGCTCACAACCAGCGACCCTTTCAGCAGCCGGCTGTGCTCGTGCTGCTGCTGCCACTGCTGCTACGCCCTTGCCTTTCTTTCCGGGCGCTGGGAACCACCCGAAGAGCAGATGCAGCAGAACCAGAAGCAGAAGCAGCTGCAGTGGGATAGTCAGCTGCAGGAGCAGCAGCCGTATAGGCAGCAGCAGCTGCGGAGGGCGAGAAGCGTGGGCACAGGAGCAGGAGGGATGGCAGTCGTAAGGGGCGGTGGTGGTGGCAGAAGCAGCACCCTCATGATCAACGGCAGCAGTACCAACTGTAGTATCAACGGCAATGGTGGCGGCAGCAGCAGCGGCGGCGACGGCGGCGGCAGCAGCAATGGCACGGCGAGGCGTGTGGTGGGAGGGCGGTGGCCAGCTGGCATGGCCAGGCTGTCACTTGAGGAGCTTGCCACGCTGGCAGTCTGCCGCGATTTGATTCGCCGACCAGTAAGCTACTTTTATCACTCCCTCATCCCCTCCCTTCTCCATCCATCTCCTGCGCTCACCTCTCTTTTTTTCCCTCCCTCTCTGCCCCTTGTCTATCTTAACCTGCAATCACTTTGTGAGTCTAGTTCCACCTTTACCTTAACCATTTCCTTGACCTCCAGTCAACCTATCAGCCATCCATATCCTCCTTCCGTTCCCTCTCTCCCTCCCCCCCTTCTCCTTCCTCGGCCTCCTTTCCCACCCTTCCCTTTCACAACGTTCTGTTTCTGCTGCGTGCAGTCTAGCTACACACCATCCAAGCTCGCACGTCTCTCCCCACACGTGCTGCAATCGCTGCTCCACGTGCTTGTGCACGTCAGGGAGCTCTCCCTGCCACTCTTACATGCACTGCCCGCGCCACTTCTAGAGGTGAGCATTCCTCAACCCGCCTCTCCGTACCGCCAAGTTCGGTGCTGCAATCGCTGCTCCACGTGCTCGTGCACGTCAGGGAGCTCTCCCTGCCGCTCCTGCACGCACTGCCCGCACCACTCCTTGAGGTATAATAATCCTCAACCCCTCCTTGAAGTTCCGTACTCCAGGCTCTGCGCCACGTGCTCGTGCACGTCAGGGAGCTCTCCCTGCCGCTGTTACATGCACTGCCCGCGCCACTCCTCGAGGTCAGCATTCCTCACATTCCCAACACTCTTTGCTCCTTCTCCTTAACACCAAACTTGCAGATGTCTCAACTCAAACCACGAAAAAGAACTCTTTTCGTTGTTCCTGAATGCGCGCATCATTCCACAAGTCCCATTAACCACGGTCCCATTGCATTCCCTGCGGCTCGCACTGACCTTACCTTAACAACCATTGTTTATGAGTTAAGTGCTTTCCATTTTTTCCCATTCCCCAACAGTCCCTGCCTCTGGCGCATTACCCCAACCTTAATGATCGCTGGCTAGAGCTGCTGTCGCCCCACGCGCCCACACTGCTCTCCATCGACCTCTCCTTTGCTGCTGCTGTCACCAACACGGGCATTCAGAAGCTGCTTCTTGGTTCCCCTCCTGCTCTTCCTGCTGCAACCGGTACTGCTGCTGCGATTACTGATAATTTTGTCACCAGTGCTGCTGGCAAGAATTTGGCGGTAGTCAATACTGCTTCCGTCAACGCTGTTGCTCCTTGTTGTGATGCCAGCACTTGCAATGGCCACGACAGCACCACCACCCCTCCCTTCTGCTCCCCTCTCACCTCCCCCCTCGCCTCCCCTCGCACTCCTCCTCTCTCCCCCTCTTCTCACAACCCTGCCTCCGTCGCCATTACCCTTCCCTCCACCCTCCCCGTCCCCTCCTCCTCCTCCTCCTCCCACCCTCTCTCCTCCACGCCAACGTCTACACTCGTCGCTCCATCCCCATCCCCGCTCTCAGCCTCCCCCTCTTCTCCCCCTATGGGTCTAACCACGCCCCAAGGCCGAAACCTGTCCTCCCCCACTCTGTCGGACATCCGCCTTTTAAGCAGCCCCGTTAACAGCAGCCCCGCTTCCAGCAGTAGCTCCCAAGAAGATCTGTCAGACGGTAGTTCATCGGAGGGAGTGTTTTTGGAGTTGAGTCTTGGGGAAGAGGAGGGAGAAGAGAGGGAGGAGAGGAGGGTTGGAGAGGAGGACGATGAAGAAAGGAGAGAGAGGGAAGAGAGGGATGAAAGGGAGAGGAGGGATTGTGAGGAGAGGAGGAATTTAAGGGAGAGTGAGATTCGCATGCGTCTTTTAACAGCGAGAATGGAGAGGGAGAGGCACGGGGATGCCTTCTGCAGCAGAAAACGGCAGAAGGCAGCAGCAGCCTCGGTTGCGGCCACAGCAGCAGCTGCAGCTGCTGCTACGACTGGGGTTGTATCGCTAGCTACAGCTGACTCGTCGCTGCATGCTTCCCAGCTTCACTCGCTGTGCCTTGATTGGTGCATCCAGATCACAGACGACGCCCTGGCGCCTCTTGCTGGTAACCACACGGGCTATGCCGGTAACCATACGGACCAAAGCTGGTAACCAGATGTGCTTTAGTGTAACAATCTGCTGTACTGCACTGGTTACCACACACGCGCTTCTTTCATGCGAATCCTCCACCATCCAGGTTAAGACAACCACATGCCTGTTTTAGGATTGTGCACCGCATGCACAGTACCCTGCATGCACCATGCAAAGCCGTTGTTAGATATCCCTGGGAAGCCGTCCCTAAATCTGTACTGTGTGACGTGTCGCTATGTCTCTCTGCCCATCTTGTCTCCTCTTACCCCCTTTCAGCCTGCCACCACCTCGCCTCTCTCAGCATTCGTGGCTGTAACCGCCTGTCTGCTGCTTAAGTACTCCTGACCTGCTTTCTCTCCTCAAACCTCTCCCACACCACTCCCCTCCCCTCCCGTCCCCTCCTTCACATCAGCCTGCCACCACCTCGCCTCTCTCAGCACACATGGCTGTAACCGCCTGTCTGCTGCTGCTCTCACGCACGTCAGCCACCTGCCCTCCCTCACGCGCCTGAACCTGGAGATGTGCGGATTGCTCAAGGGGGGGATGCGCCACCTTACAGGTACGTCCGCTGTGTGATATTTGACTGACTCTGACTGATTCTGACTGAATCTGACTGAACCACCTCCTGCTGCTCTCACGCACTTGGCCCACATGCCTTCCCTCACTCACCTGAACCTCGGGGTGTGCGGAATGCTCAAGGGAGGCATGCGCCACCTCTCAGGCACGGCCTGCTGTGATCCCTGACTGACTCTAACTGATTCTGACTGTCTCTGACTGATTCTGACTGTGTCTGACTGATTAACCTGCTGCTCTCGCGCACATCAGTCACCTGCCCTCCCTCACCCACCTGAACGCACTTCCGTCCCCTCTCCCAAACGGTCCGTTGTATTAATTCAGCAGGGGTACAAACATGCAGTTCTATCCATGATAGCCTCAATCCCTCAATCCCTGTCTCTCACAGCGCTCTCCTCCCTCCACACCCTCAACGTCGGCTGGTGCACGTCCCTAGATGACGATGACATGGCACACATGGCAGTTTCCCTGGTTCTCATTTCCCCATTCCTGCTCCCGCCTCTCATGCAGGGCTCTCCTCCCTCCACGCCCTCAAAGTCGGCTGGTGCACGTTCCTAGATGACGACGACATGGCACACATAGCCCGCCTCTCCTCGCTGCACTCCCTCAACGTCTCACCCACATCCTGACATCAAAATCACAACTAAGACTCCTTGTGCCATTCCCCTCCACCCATCTGTCACAGGGCTTTCCTCCCTCCGCACTCTGAACGTCGGTTGGTGCACGTCTCTCGACGATGATGACATGGCAGACATAGCCCGCCTCTCCTCGCTACACTCCCTCAACGTCTCCCGCTGCAAGATCACAGATGCAGGCCTCACAGCTCTGCTGCAAGGTAAGCCATGCAGTCGAGTCCTCTCACATTTTCCATTCCCGTGGCCCCCCTCTCTCTCAGCGCTCTCCTCTCTCAGTGCTCGCCTCGCTACACTCCCTCAACGTCTCCCGCTGCAAGATCACCGACCTGGGCCTCACGGCTCTGCTGCAAGGTAAGATTGATATGACTTTCTAGGTGTGCATAGGGTCGTCTGAAATCATGCGTTCGGACGACCCTATCTGTGTCCCTCTGCCCTGATATGACTTTCTAGGTGTGCTGAAATCATGCTAACAGAACGCATTCACACGACCCTATCTGTGTCCCTCTGCCCTGCTTCCAGTCCTCTCTCCCATCCTTTCGCACGCTCCATTCCATCAGCATCTGCAGCACTCTGCTCCCCCACCAGGCGCCTCAGGAGGAATAGTTTTCATCTTTCCACACGACCCATCATTCCATGCACCCCGTCCCGCCCCACGCCCACATTTACAGCTATATCATCCCTCACCACTCTCCCTTTGAGCCGCCTAATAATTCCTTTCTGTCCCGGCACATGCCCCATTCCCATCCCGTCACATCCGCGCCTGCAGCTCTCTCCTCCCTGACCAGTTTCAGCATGGCGGGCTGTCAGCATGTGACGGACACAGCCTTCTCTCTCATCTCTGGTAAGTGGTTCGTTTCATTACGAGTAAGCATTTTCTAACCACTTATCAGTTCGTTTCGATCCCCACTTATCTTTTTAGTCGTCAGCGTGGGACCGACCGACACAACCTACTCCCTCATGCTCATCTCCAGTAGGCGATTTCTCATTCCCCAGGAAGTCTTCTCCGTCCCCCTGATTTTGGAGGCGCCTCAAAAACACTTTCACAGAGCGTCTTCCCACCCCACTGATCGTGCTAGCCATTTGGCTTTCACTGTGTGAAATCTGCTTCCTGCCTCTTCTCCAGCAAGCCTTTTCCCCTAATCCCGCCTTCCCTCCTGGTTTCACAGCAAGTCTTTCCCCTCACACTTCCACTTGTCGCTCACCCATTTGTGCCACGTGTCAGGCGTTCACGGATTGACTGAGCTCAACGTGGAGTGGTGTGCGCTTCTCACTAACACGGGCCTCAAGCACATGCAAGGTGGGACAGTAGGAATAGGGGGGATTGAAGCGGGGGAACGTGGAGGGGAGAGCGCTGGGGTTTGGAGCGGAAGTGGGTTGGGGGGAACGTGGAGTGGTGTGCGCTTCTCAGTAACACGGGCCTCAAGCACATGCAAGGTGGGGGAGAGAAAGGGGGAAGCGGGGGAGGGGACGGGAGGGATGGGAGGGGAGGGGAAAGGGGGAGACGGGAGGAGGGGGGGAACGTGGAGTGGTGTGCACTGCTCACTAACACAGGCCTCAAGCATCTCCAAGGTGGGGGGGTGCTGTAGGGGAAGGGTTGGGGGAGGGGAGGAGGGGGGTAAGGGGCATGGGAAGTGGGGAGGCGAGGGTACGGAATAAGGTTTGGAGCGGAAGTGGGTTGGGGGGGCGTGGTGCCGCGTGCATTGCACACCAACACAGGCCCAAGATGCTGTAGGGTTTTTTTGAGAATTCTCAAGGCGCCTCAAAAATTGGGAATTCTCAAAAAAGCCCTATTGCCCACCAACACAGGCCCACGCACCTGCAAGGTGCTTCCTCTCTCCCCCTTCTCAAGGCGCCTCAAAAACATTGAGGCGCCTCAAAACGCGGGAGTGGGTGGTGGGGAACGTGGAGTGGTGTGCATTTTCCGCCATCACAAGCCCAAGCACCTGCAAGGTGCTTCCTCTCTCCCCCTTCCTCCGTTCTCACGCATTTCACATTGCAGAATCTCGCCCGCACCTGCTTTGGAATCATCACATCAATTCCCCCCCACCACCCCCTCCCACTCACCACCTGTGCTTGAGATTTTTCTCTTTACTCGTTGCACTGTCCGATTTTGCTTTTTCCCCTCTACTCTGCCCTTCCCACCCTTCTCTTCCCGCCCTTCCCTTCCCGCCCTTCCCTTTCCCCCCTTGCTTTTCCCCCCTTTTCTTTCCACCCTTGCTTTTCAACCCTGCTTCCCATCCACGTGCTCTCATGCGTCTCACATCTCAATCTGGCCTATACCCACTTTGGCTACTTCCTCCCTCTCTGCTTACCTTCTCCTCCCATTCTTTTTTCCCTCCCTTCCTCTCCCCCCTCCACCGCCCCTCCCTCCCAGCCTCCCCACCTCCACAGCTTTCACGCGTCTCACGTCTCTCAACCTGGCCTACACCCGCTTTGGTGTCATAGACACCCCTCCCCGTCCCCCTACCCGTGCTTCCCCTTTTTCTCTTTACTCGTTGCCCCTCCCTCCAGCTCTCACACGTCTCACGTCTCTCAACCTGGCCTACACCCGCTTTGGCGTCATCGACACACCCCGCAACAGGAGCATGCAGAGTGCTCCTTCCTTCATCTCCTGTAAGCCTACCATCCCTCTCTCCTTGTCACCCACTTTGCTATATCAACTCCTCCCTCTCTATCACCCACTTTGCTCAACACCTTCCGCTTATCGTACACTCTCCTCTATCAGTGCCTTTCACCTGTCACGTGTTTTTTCCTACATACTCCTTCATTCACCTTGCTCTTGCTCTATCGATCCTGTCCTTTATTACAAAGAAAAACTATCGACCCTGTCACCCCATTTTGTCCTCTATTGCGATCCATTACCCCACAGGGTAACCACCACCTCTACAGGAGTTTGTTGTTTTGATTAATTCACTTTCCTCCCTCGCAGTCCTTCCCCACACGTTCTGTCTCTGCTGTGCTCTGCTCCCTTGCGTCGATTTGAGACGTCTCAAAAGCCACGTGATAAAAGTGTTGTTGTGAGACATCTCAAAAGCCACGTGATAAAAGTGTTGTTTTGAGACGTCTCAAAACAACACTTTTATCTCCTCCCTCGCAGTCCTTCCCCACACGATCTGTCTCTGCTGTGCTCTGCTCCCTTGCATCGAATTACTCACTACCACTTTCCCACTCTATCCCCACCCCTCTATTCTCCCCCTCCCCTCCACACCGACCACCCACCAACCCCCACTGCAGCGCTGCGCTCCCTCCGCCACCTCAACCTCGACTCATCACGCGTCAACGACCTTGCCATGGCAGAACTTGCAGGTGAACACATCCGTTTCTTTCCTTTTTTTCATTTTTTCCATTTACAAGTTGGAAAGGTTCCCAACTCTCTCATTATTCCCCTCTCATTGTAACCCTGCTGTATGATTCCTCACAGGTCTAACTGCCTTGGAGAGCCTTGATCTGTCAGACTCCACAGTGGGCGATGCAGGGATTCGCAGCGTCTCTGGTAAGCAGTTGTAGTAGACATGCCCCTTCCCTCACCTCATCCCTCACCTCCCTTCCCCGCCCTTCCCCGCCCTTTCGCGCCCTTCCCTTCCTGCCTCTCACAACGTTGACCTCGTCCCACCTCTCCCTCCTCCACTTCTTTCACCATCCCCTCCTTCTCTACAGCCATGACTCGTCTCTAAATCCTCACCCTCAGCTACTGCAATGTCACCGACGGTGGTGTGGGTAGCACTACCCTATCTCTTGACACTCCCCACCGCTCCCCACCTTCCCCTCTTCCCTCCCAATACAGCCATGACTCGTCTCTCCTCCCTCAACCTCAGCTACTGCAACGTCACAGACGGCGGTGTGACCAGCATCACCCACCTCTCCACCTCTTCACCTCGCTCCACCTCTCTCCATTTCTCCCCACTTTCCCTTCTTCCCTCCCAATACAGCCATGACTCGTCTCTCCTCCCTCAACCTGAGCTACTGCAGTGTCACAGATGGCGGTGTGACCAGCATCGCTCACCTCTCCGCCCTCACCTCCCTCTCCCTTGACACTCGCTCCATCACTGACGCTGGCTTAAAGCGCCTCTCAGGTAAGATTGCGTACCTCTCCGCCCTCACATCCCTCTCCCTTGACACTCGCTCCATCACTGATGCTGGGCTGAAACGCCTGTCAGGTGAGTTCGTACCACTTTTCAGTCAAACCAAACTCCTCTCCTTCCTTTACCTGTCTCTCCAAGAATCATGGGTTGTGTTCGCCCACCTCTCCGCCCTCACCTCCCTCTCCCTCGACTCTCGCTCCGTCACCAACACTGGGCTGAAGCGACCATCAGGTGAGATGGAAAGGTTGTCAGATAAGTTGCGAGATGAAACGGCTGTCACATGAGACGGTTGTGAGGTGAGATGAAACAGATGTCAGATCATAGCCCGTCCAAAGTCTCATCATTTCTTTTCCATTCTCACCCCTTCACCCTCCCGTCCTTTCCCCATCTCCCGTTCTCCCTTCGCTCTGTTGTCTTTCTTGTTGTCCGCCCCACCCCACACAGCCCTGACCAAGTGACTTTTGAGTTGACTCAAAAGTTTCCCCATCTCCCGTTCTCTCTTCTCTCTGTTCTCTCTGTTGTCTTTCTTGTTGTCCGCCCCACCCCGCACAGCCCTGACCAACCTCACCAACCTAGACTTGTTTGGAGCACGGGTGACGGACGAAGGCATGGCAGTGGTCAAGGGTGAGTTGGAAGGAGGGGAGAAAGGGGTTCAACAAATGGGGGATGGGGGAAATAGAATGGGGGAAGAAGAAGTGAGGAGGGTGGGAATTCGGGGGACTGGGTATGAGGGTGACAAACGAGCTGTCCTTCTGCCCCTTGCTCCCCTTGCTCCATATGTGCCCCTTACCCCAGGATTCAAGAAGCTTCGGGTGTTGGAGGTGTGTGGGGGCGGCATCACGGACAAGGGAGTGAAGGATCTTTCCTCACTGCCCCTGAACTGCCTCACACTCTCCTTCTCCTTCCTTCATGCTTCCCACGTAACCCTAGCGCAGGCTTCAAGAAGCTTCGGGTGTTGGAGGTGTGTGGGGGCGGCATCACAGACAAGGGAGTTAAGGAACTCGCTTCTCTGCCCCAACTGGCCTCCCTCAACGTCTCTCAGAACCAGCGCATCACCGACACTGGTGTCAAGGCTCTGGCAGGTGGGATGGGGAGGGGAATGCTTCCGTGTTAGACATACTTTGAATGGTGTGTGCTGCTGCTGCCCCAACTGGCCTCCCTCAACGTCTCTCAGGGCCAGCGCATCTCTGATGCGGGCGTCAAGGCTCTGGCAGGTAAAGGAAGAAGAAGAAGACGACAAAAAGAAACAAGCAAAGCACAGCATATGTTGGTACACTAAGCAGTAACGTGTGCAGCTGCATTGCATAGCACCTGCTAAGCATGTGCTGTGTACGCTAGCATTCTCCGATGTCTCTCGGAACCAGCACATCTGGGACACTCCGAGTTGAGGCACGTGTAGAGAGGGTATTTTTGAGACGTCTTAAAACCCTCTCTACACATGTGCTGTGTACGCTAGCATTCCTCGATGCCTCTCTGAACCAGCACATCACGGACACTCGAAGTAAAGGCTTTCGCATGCGAGATAAAACACTGTCTATTATCGAAACCACAATCAGCTTGTCGTGCTGCCGATCCCTCAGTGTCTCCTAGTATCAATTCAGTTTTTGAGTCGACTCAAAAATCGACCCCTCAGTATCTGCCAGTACACCAAAAAGCAGCAGATGGTCCAGCACTCTGGTTCTGCTGCTTGTGAATCGTGTGAGGGAATCAGCACTCTAGTTCTTCCTTATCGCCCTCTTCTGTCCTCAAAAGGTCCCTTCTTTGCCCCACACCAACCCCCCCCCCCCCCCTGCCCCCCCCTTCCCCTTTCCACACCTGCAGCACTCACCACTCTCGAAACCCTCAACCTCTCGGGATCAGGAGTAACCCGCAACGGCCTCTGCCACCTGCTCGCCCTCTCCCGCCTCACCTCCCTCTCCCTGCACGGCTGCAAGGTGCACAGAGCGCACCTCAATCACCTGCTCGTCTCCCCTCTCTGTGACTGGGACCCGAGCCTCACCGTTACAGGGGTTAACTGATATTAGCCCCCACACAGTCGGGGTTAACTGATCTTGGCCCCCACTCAGTCAGGGTTAACTGATCTTAGCCTCCACACAGTCGCGCACTCCCACCTACTCACCCTCTCCCGCCCCACCCCTCTCTCTCCCTGCACGGCTGCAAGGTGCACAGGGCGCACCTCAGTCACCTGCTTGTTCCCCCTCTCTGCGACTAAAACCCAAGCCTCACTGTCACAGGGGTTACTTGGGTCATGTGATCTCATCTTAGCTGCTCTTGATGCTGGCAAAGCATGAGTGGTTATAACTTGGGGCCATTCTCCGATAAAATACCTTTCTTGGGAGGGTACATGGGTCAGATGTGTAGATTGTGGATAGTTATACACGAGGGAAGCATGCATGTGATGCTCGAGCGAAGAATGTACTATGCTGTGTTGACCTTATGTACATATGTATATACGGGTGCAATGGGGGGGGGGGGGGGGCGTGTAATGGTTGACTACAGCTGTGAGTGCCTCGACGCATCTGAAATGCAATGCGCAACAATGAATATGAAGGATGTATTAGACCATCTTGACGATAATGAGGTGGAAAGTGGGGTGGTTGAGCAGGTGATGGTAGTTCTTGGTTGATTGGGGGAATTGGCTAGGCTTATTTTACCAGTGTGCTGCTGTGAACGTTGTTGTCTTTGGTTCATTCATCTTTGATGCTCATTGTGGAGGACTGGTGGAGCATACTCCGGCTACTGAGATTCTGCACCTAAAAAAAATTGTAGGACTAACCAAGCCCCACAATACACATAATGACGCGTTACAAGTGCACGATCGATCGCCAAAATTAGTCTGTCACCGTTAGAGAAACATGCTCCAAACAAATGAACCTTTCGGAACCGTCTACAACCTAGAAAATTGACGAACCTAAGAAATCCACCCAACACTTTCACGGCGTCCTGATCAACCTTCGCGAACTCATAAGGCCCGAAGAACCCGGAAGTCCCTCGATGTCTTTTGACGATAGTCGCCTACGGCTCGGTATCGTCGTGCGCAGGTGCAAATGCGCGAAATTAGCCATCCATATCCTTCGCGAATGAAAGGGGCCAATTCAGGCAACAACCACACGGGCGGTTCGAGCCCTGCTCGATATCGCTTCGCCACTACTTGTTCTCGCATAAGCTGGGTAGGTACTAGAGATAATAGTGCAGGCTCATCGCCGCCAGCAGCTGCATCTCTTTTGCGCAGCTAGGGTGCGCGCGTGTGTGCTTTGACCCCGCATCTCACTCCCATTCACCACTTAACGCGACGAAGGTGCTTCGAGGAAGTAAAGCACCGCTTTAAAACTCATCAAATCGCGCCACTGGTGCATCGCCCTTCTCCGCGCCTTCGCTGTGTTTCACTGAGGTCGGTTGAGCGTCCGCCAACCTCGCCGTTGCATCATCTCACAATCCGGCATGGCGCCCAATGAAACAGTGCCACGTGGCGACGGGCGCTTGGAAGAGCTGCTGGAGAGCGGCATGTTTGCTGACGTGACACTGAGAGCGGGCGACGCGGATGTTGCCGCGCACCGCTGCATCCTCTCGTCGTGGTACGTGTGCAACGCCAGTGCGACGTTTCATGCGACGCCACGTGCGACGCCATGTGTGACGTTACGTACATCATTAGCTTGATTTCCAAGTCCGCGGCTTGTATCCCCCCCTAGCTTTCCGCAAACTACTTCTATCGCTGTGTGACAAATTGCAACCTTTTCAAGTAACGGCTTTAGGGTACACTGACGGCGACATTTTTGTTTAATGACAAACCACATGTATCTCGTCCCCCCCAACGTGCAGGAGAAAGTCGTAAGGGGTTATTAATCAAGGCCCCTTGCTGTACCCCCTCTGTTTAACACAGGTCTCCTGTGTTCAAGAAGATGTTTACGAACGGCTTCATGGAGACATCGGAGCAGCCTGTAGTGAGGATGGACGACATGGACGAGTGCACCCTACGCCTCTTCCTGCGCCTTATCTACGCGGGCAGATGCAACCTTCCCAAGGAGTACCTACTGGTGAGCCCTCACCAGCAAAAATCAAATCGATAAATATGAGTATTGTATCAAGTACATAAGTGTATTGCTGCTCCTGTTACGTGTAGTTGCAAAATGAGGAGGTATTTCGTGTCTATCTTGTGAACACGTCTGCCAGCGGACCCAGGTAGCTACTAAAAGCAGTCCATTACTAGGACAGTTATGGTACTATGATAATCCAACCTGCATTGTGTGACTAACTATCATGATGACTCTTCCAACCCGCATTCCCCCCTTTCTTCTTCACAGAGCCACGGGCTGCAGCTGCTGACGTCAGCGAATAAGTACGACATCCTGGAGCTTGTGTATGCACTGGACGGCGAACTGGCGGCCGTGGCGGCGGAATCTGGGGACCTCCAGCTGGCATTTGACGGGCTCCACGTGGCAGCAGCTCACGGCGCGGTGCAGTTGGCCGGTTGGTGCAGGGAGAAGATTTTTGAGTGCAGTGGGGAAGGAGCGTGCATCGCTAAAATGAAGGTGTGTTAAAGAGTGAGGGAGGACAGTAATTTATATTGATGCACATACTTACGTTAACATGTTTCTCTCTGCCATGTGTTTGCACAATTGTAAACGTCTCTGCAGGAAATGGTTATGAGCGACTCTATTCAAGAAAGGCTCCTCTCTTTGGATGTAATGGAGTTCATTTTCAAACGGGCATATAAGAAGCAGTCATCTACTGTGATGGATGGATCTGTTTTTTATCGCTAAAGGAGTAATAAGTTTGTAAGATCCTAGATACAACCGCTATTCTATATAAAAAACAGCACGATGCCATGGGCTGCGTTCTGTTGGCGCATTAGTTATGCGCGCACGACGCACAAGTTGTGCGCTCGGAGGCTTCTGCGCAGGAGAGTACCCCCCAAAACTACCACGAAGTTATGACCCAGGCGCGAGGTATCTGCGGGGCAGGCACCAGGGTGTTTACGTGGGGGCAGGCCCAAAATATTTGACAGCAACAGCGCTGACCTTTTTTGGCACACAACGAATGGCTACAAACGAACACCCAATCGGCAGGCACCTTACAACCCAATTTGTGCACCCGATTGGGTGACAACCGTTGGGTGGTAACCGCTGGGTTAAAAAATAGCCGAAGTCGTACTTTTCCCGGGCGTTTTCAGCTGCCCCGCACAGCTTGTGCGCCCCTTTAACGCTGGGAGACGAGCGGATGGGACTCGCACAGGCTGTGCAGGAAGTTTGCCTGTGAACGCAAGGTCCTAGAATATTCCGAGCGCATAGGCAGTACAGCGTTTTTGCGCACGCGAGTAATGCGCGCACAACTTCCGCAGCAGAGGTTCGGGTCACACTAACGATTCCCTCCGGGCCCAAGCCTTGTCGCGCAAGTTCCTCGTATATTCTCCGTTAGGGTTACGCACAGGCTATGCGCCAACGGAACGCAGCCTTGGTGATTTTTTTTCAAGCACTTACTGTACCCGCCAGCCCGAAATTCCTGGCAATTCACGAGTTCAACAACTCCATGTTGGGAAAATGACAAATGGTCGGCAGCTTTGTTGTGTGCCCAACATTCACATCACAGGTGTAAAAACGTTTCAGCACGATGACTCGATTCCTAAGTTCGGCCTTTGTGGGGTTTCCCTAACTGATGCGGTGAAGAGGAGCTGGTAAAGTATCAACAACATAACTCTACTGTAACTACGATTAAGTGTTTACGCTCATCGTGCAGGATGAGTGCATGGGGCAGCGAACGAAATGTGTGAACAGCATTGTAGAGCAAATTCATGTTCCGCAAATTCGCAGTGTCCGAACCGAGATCGTTTTGGAACTCGCAACCGCAAAAGCCAAAATCCCCCGCGCGCGGTCCGGGAAAAGTTTCGTTCGCCGCCACATGCTGTTCACCTATTTGTCGCTCGAGTAATGCAGCTGCCACTTTGCAGTGGCTGCTTTCCCGCAGAGTCGCAGCTCGTCGCTTTACCTCGGGATCAATAGGCAGCGAATCGCATGCGAAATGTATCTACTGCTCACATGTAGGCTAGGTTCACTGCGCCTCCCCGCTGTCAGACGTCCGCCACACAAGAACTCAGGTCGTGTCCGTAGGGATGACATGTCAAGCTTGTGAGTGTCAACTTCTGGTTTTGACACTTGCCAACATTGTTGGCAGAGTGTCAACGACATGAAAACTGCCAGCCAGTAAATTTAGTCGGACATCCCGCTCTGCGAATCTTGTTCCTCCATCCAGCCAACTTAACTGGTAGGATCTAGAATCCTTTCTACCCACACCTGCCCAATCAACGGATGTAAAGTCCTGTACGACTGCAAGGTCTTGCAAGAAGTCGCGTGTGGATGTAAAGTTTTGTAAGACTGCAAGGTCTTGCAACAAATTCGTGCCCAACCAATAAGGTTGCGTCGCAGGATTTTGTGCTGCGCTTCGTTTTGACACTGAAGCTACAATGCTTGACACTCTAAATTCCGAGCGCTTCGTCTTGACACTGCCATGTTGACATGTCATCCCCACGGACACGAACTCAGTGCAAAACATAAATTGCACCCCATCAGATTCACTACCCCAGCATAAATTGCATAATTTGACCGCGTCGTCGGTTCGGATTACAATTCCTCGGACTTTGTAGCTCCAGAAAGTTTTTTTGTGACCGAAGCACAGCGCGGCGCGATTTTATTGGGTATGTCCCTCACTGCACTGGTTGCTTGTGTCTGACCGACGCTTGCTAAAAAGCAAGGGTGATGCCCGGCGCTTATCAACAATTTCCCGAATCCCGCCTCATGAGTGTGCCCATTCAACCAACCCAAACCCCGCCCCAAAGGTTGACCTTTCACCCCAAGTCCATTCAAACCAGCACTTTCGCGAGTCGCGAAAGCCACAGAACCCCCCTCGTACCCATGTGCTTCCTTTCCTTGTACAACCATCTCTGCGACTGGATCGAAGATCCAGCCAATTACTAGCTGACCCATGCACAGTCGTCTCGTGGTGTACAGTCCATCCCGTGTTTGGAGATTCTTTTCTTCTCGAGTTACGTACACCCATTTGGTCCAACCAATCGAGCCAACCACCGTTCAGCCTTGCTGCTTTGCTCTGTACCCTCTTCCTCCTGCTGACTCACACACCCTGGGCGCAGGATTTTCGCAGAACTCTTCCACGGGGACCAGTCTGAGCGACGACGACCACCTTCCATACAGAAGGCCACGCTTTTCTCAATCTTCCCTCACAAGTCTCTCGAGCAGCCACGTTTCCCAACTCCAACCCGACAACCCCAGCTCAGTTGTGAAGACTGTCCCTCCCAACCCAGCCATCCCACAAGATAGCGGAAACCGTGTGATTCATCTTTTTTGCTTCTTCGTCTTCAAAGAAAGATAGCGGCAGCCATACGTAACCCGCAAGACTCGTTCATTTCTCAACTTGTTGACCAAAGGCGAGAGCACTCGTTTTATATTATTGTTCACCTTTCGCATTTGTCGCCATCAACGTACACGTAGGGTTACAGCAGCCATTTCCTACCGTCCCAAACAATCTGCAAGCGGCTAGTAGATAGGCCCCGTTTTTTCGTTTCACTGCTATAGTCGGCAGTTTCGGGTACGTGCGGATTACGGCGTGTCAGAATGGACGTGCCGTCGTTAATGGCGAGTAAAAAAGGAGTGAGCGAGAGCGAATCGTCCATGTCACTGGACTCGCGGATAAACGACGAGGAAAAAGCGTCGTCGTTCTGCTCAACAGGCAGCGACGATAGCACGGTACGTGCGCCAGGGCAAAGCTTTGTTTGTATTTTCCTCGCCTGCCTCATGAATATATGCTTTCACGTTTTTCCTTACGAAACAAAGTCCTCGTTGTGTTTTCGAAGTCCATCTGAGACACCGTGACGTCCTTCCCCGGTGTGAACGGCTCCAATGTTTCCGCGACACGTTTCTGTCCTGACAAGCATGCCGCCATCTTCTCAAACCCTAGACAGAGCTCACTAACCCAATGCCACAGCTGATCAATTCCTCATTAACTTTTCAAAAGTTTTCAAGTCCCTATAGCAGCTCCGAGCGACCATATTCGAAGTCGCCTTACAGCACAGTTTTCTATAATCAGCGGGTCGTTCTTGGCTCGACGACTCTCCTTAACCACGCTCGACACTTTCATCGTCCCCCTTACAAGCCCTACCTTTCCCCTTTCGACCTTTCCCTCCAAATTTATATATTACGGTTGCGAGTCCTCACCGTGTTAAATGGTTAAAGCGAAACCGTTTGATTTCCTCCCCACACTGTATCCGCGTTGGAATCATTTCTCTTATTTGGCTCGTTCAGTTCCGGACTGTTACAGCGCTCTGTAACGTCCAAAACGCGTAGCCTAGCTCACCCTTGTGCCGTCACTGCGTTCGCCAGCCTTGGCGTTCCTACCGGTCCCGCCTCGCCTCATCCTTCGTCCAACCTTTTTCTGCACTCTTTGGTGTTCCTGCTCTTTTTTACAGGAAGAAGACAACGCTTTACCGCCAGACAGCAAACTCGTCGTCAAGGTTGACGGAAAAGATGACGGGAAACTCGAGGACGACGACGGCAAGTCAGAACCGGCGAAGAGACATACGGCCGCGCGGACGTGGCTCGGGATGCCGGGGTGGCAGTGCGCTCTATTCGCCGGAGCCATAGCTGTCGTTCTCTTCCTCATCGTCTTCGGCGCTGTTCTCCTCGGCCTCGCGCTCTCCTTCCACTGTGAGGTGCGTACGCGTGCCTCACCCGGCCCCGCAGCTCTCCTGACCCGCCTTTTATTTTTTGGGACATCGCAATTTTAATTTCTTTCCTGTGTGAAGTGCCCTGGTCCACATGGATTCACATCTCATCCGCCTCACCTGGCCCTGTTCTTCTTGTTCGACGCGCCTGAAGGATTGCCGCGTCGTTCCCTCCGTTGCAGCATGCGCCTCTCTCAACTGGTCCTATTCCCCAAAATCTTGAGCACTCGAACGAAACGCTGCTCGCTTTTTTTTTCCAGTATCGCGTACGCCTTTCTTGTAATGCCCTCCTGTTTTTCCGCGCTAGCTTCTTTTAGTCAAAGCGAGCTTGTCTCCCCTCCCCTCCTCTCTTCAGTGCAGTCTCTTTCGAGTGCACGCTTCGTCCGTCTCGTCCCGTCTCCTTACCTTACCTTTGCTTTCCGCCCCGTGTCGCCCATCTCCGCCACCACAGGACGTCTTGATTCGAGTAGATAGCCTCGACTTTCACAACATGTCGTTTTCGCAACAACCCTCGGAGTCCGGATCGGGCGATAAGACGCTGCTGCTGAGCGCGCGGCTAAACGTGTCGGCGAACGTTTTTAATCCGAACGAAAACACGATGGTGGTGGAGCAGCTGTTTGTCGCGATCGACGGCATGGATCATCCCATGACGAATGTCACGGTAGGGTTCGCATAACCAGCTATTTCACTCGTAACATGGTAACGTGAATGTATGACCGTCCGCCACCCCCTTGCCCCCAGCAACCACCGCGCACCTGCGAGAAATAAGCTCATTCCACATTTTCCGCGAACCAAAGCAGCTGCTGGAAT